TACAAACAAGAATACAATGGTACAATATATCAAAGGGTATGAGTCTCCTCCAGCTCCTACGAAGTCGGACGCGAGCCAAGTATGCAGCAAGCATTTCCCCTCTGGATGGCCATGCTGAGGCGCTGGAACATGAAAGTGGCTGCCCTTGGATCCCTGGTGGTTTCGACGAGTCTGGAACCCAATTCTTTAAGGAAACGTGTGGCATTTTTCCCCATGATCCCAAGGTCTCTGATCCAACTGGGACAAATTGATACTGTTGGCTTATGTCCCTGTACTTGCTGATCTTGTACTTCTCCCTGTGATCAGCAGCTATTCCCTGTCGCCCAACACTGTGATAGATGTAGGTGTCAGCCAGTGTGGACATACAGGTATAGTCCCATGCTAAGAGCTTGCCATTCTTCCAAGGATAGATGGTGATCCCGTTGGGGCGGTTTGCTGGGTTGTGGGTATTGTTGGCTGCTAGTGCTCGGGGCTCTCTCTGCTGGGCATCCAGCTGTAGCAAGGGTTCTCTTTATGATACACATACACGCACACACAACTTAATAAAGGAGCTGAAGGAGGCTCATAATCTTTGATATACAGTCTCTCCTCACTTAGCGATATTTTTTAACAAGTCGGCCGTCTCCCACCGAGGCAGGGTGACCCAAAAAGAAAGAAGATCCCCAAAAAGAAAATACTTTCATCATCATTCAACACTTTCACATCACTCACACATAATCACTGTTTTTGCACAGGTGCTCAAAACACAACCGTTTAGAAGCATATACGTATAAAGATACACAACATATCCCTCCAAACTGCCAATATCCCAAACCCCTCCTTTAGAGTGTAGGCATTGTACTTCCCATTTCCATATATATATATATAATATATATATTATATATATATATATATATATATATATATATATATATATATTTATATAGAGAGAGAGAGAGAGAGAGGGGAGAGAGAGGAGAGAGAGAGAGAGAGAGAGAGAGAGAGAGAGAGATAGATAGATAGATAGATAGATATGAGAAGTTTTTACAAAGTAGAAGTGATGCAAGGAGGGAAGAGTATATGTAGAAAAAGAGAGAGGTTAAGAGAGTGGTGAAGCAATGTAAAAAGAGAGCAAATGAGAGTGGGCGAGATGTTATCAACAAATTTTGAAACGGGGTAAGGCAGCCGGGATTGATGGGATAAAGATAGAAATGTTAAAAGCAGGTGGGGATATAGTTTTGGAGTGGTTGGTGCAATTATTTAATAAATGTATGGAAGAGGGTAAGGTACCTAGGGATTGGCAGAGAGCATGCATAGTTCCTTTGTATAAAGGCAAAGGGGACAAAAGAGAGTGCAAAAATTATAGGGGGATAAGTCTGTTGAGTATACCTGGTAAAGTGTATGGTAGAGTTATTATTGAAAGAATTAAGAGTAAGACGGAGAATAGGATAGCAGATGAACAAGGAGGCTTTAGGAAAGGTAGGGGGGGGTGTGGACCAGGTGTTTACAGTGAAACATATAAGTGAACAGTATTTAGATAAGGCTAAAGAGGTCTTTGTGGCATTTATGGATTTGGAAAAGGCATATGACAGGGTGGATAGGGGAGAAATGTGGCAGATGTTGCAGGTGTATGGTGTAGGAGGTAGGTTACTGAAAGCAGTGAAGAGTTTTTACGAGGATAGTGAGGCTCAAGTTAGAGTATGTAGGAAAGAGGGAAATTATTTCCCAGTAAAAGTAGGCCTTAGACAAGGATGTGTGATGTCACCGTGGTTGTTTAATATATTTATAGATGGGGTTGTAAGAGAAGTAAATGCGAGGGTCTTGGCAAGAGGCGTGGGGTTAAAAGATAAAGAATCACACATAAAGTGGGAGTTGTCAGAGTTGCTCTTTGCTGATGACACTGTGCTCTTGGGAGATTCTGAAGAGAAGTTGCAGAGATTGGTGGATGAATTTGGTAGGGTGTGCAAAAGAAGAAAATTAAAAGTGAATACAGGAAAGAGTAAGGTTATGAGGATAACAAAAAGATTAGGTGATGAAAGATTGGATTTCAGATTGGAGGGAGAGAGTATGGAGGAGGTGAATGTATTCAGATATTTGGGAGTGGACGTGTCAGCGGATGGGTCTATGAAAGATGAGGTGAATCATAGAATTGATGAGGGGAAAAGGGTGAGTGGTGCACTTAGGAGTCTGTGGAGACAAAGAACTTTGTCCTTGGAGGCAAAGAGGGGAATGTATGAAAGTATAGTTTTACCAACGCTCTTATATGGGTGTGAAGCATGGGTGATGAATGTTGCAGCGAGGAGAAGGCTGGAGGCAGTGGAGATGTCATGTCTGAGGGCAATGTGTGGTGTGAATATAATGCAGAGAATTCGTAGTTTTGGAAGTTAGGAGGAGGTGTGGGATTACCAAAACTGTTGTCCAGAGGGCTGAGGAAGGGTTGTTGAGGTGGTTCGGACATGTAGAGAGAATGGAGCGAAACAGAGTGACTTCAAGAGTGTATCAGTCTGTAGTGGAAGGAAGGCGGGGTAGGGGTCGGCCTAGGAAAGGTTGGAGGGAGGGGGTAAAGGAGGTTTTGTGTTTGAGGGGCTTGGACTTCCAGCAGGCATGCGTGAGCGTGTTTGATAGGAGTGAATGGAGACAAATGGTTTTTAATACTTGACGTGCTGTTGGAGTGTGAGCAAAGTAACATTTATGAAGGTGTTCAGGGAAACCGGCAGGCCGGACTTGAGTCCTGGAGATGGGAAGTACAGTGCCTGCACTCTGAAGGAGGGGTGTTAATGTTGCAGTTTAAAAACTGTAGTGTAAAGCACCCTTCTGGCAAGACAGTGATGGAGTGAATGATGGTGAAAGTTTTTCTTTTTCGGGCCACCCTGCCGTGGTGGGAATCGGCCAGTGTGATAATAATAAAAATATATATATATATATATATATATATATATATATATATATATATATATATATATATATATGCAATAAGATCACAGTAAACAGGTGATTTTAAAATATGCAAAACAACCACTGTGAAAGAGTAGTGAAATTCCAAGCGCTTTCGTGACTACTCACATTGCCAAGGAACTATGAAAGTAATACATCAAAGGAAGGCAATTAAAGGGCTAAGATCACACCTCACAGTCAATTCCCACAACAAAGAAACACCTGATGCGCGACAATACCGGACTCATAAGAAAAGAGGAACACTTTTTGAAAATCAGTTGGATGGTTAAAATCTCTCACATGAATAAATAGAGCATTGGAAGCTTGTCCAGTTCTAATGCTATATTTATGTTGTTTTAATCTTAGTTCGAGATTTTTACCAGTTTCACCGTAATAAACTTCATCTCAAATTTTACAAGGAATCTTATAGACACATCCGTCAGCATTTTGGGGCAATTCTTTATCAAAAATTTTTTTCACAGTGGTTGTTTTGCATATATATATATATATATATATATATATATATATATATATATATATATATATATATATATATATATATATATTATATATATTACTGTATTTTAGGTTTAGTGTTACCTAATAACATAACAATAGTAATTTATTATTAACATCAATATCAACAACAGTAAAAACAATAGGAAGAGAACCCTACATCAGTGTCTTCAACATCATCAACATCAACATCCAACAATAACATATCCCAACAACAACAACCACACTAGCAAAGACATCAATCAGCAACAACTAACAACAGCATCACTCACCACAGTTCAAACAACAGCATCACTCACCATAGATCAACAACAGCATCACTCACCACAGATCAACAACAGCATCACTCACCACAGATCAACAACAGCATCACTCACCACAGATCAACAACAGCATCACTCACCACAGATCAACAACAGCATCACTCACCACAGATCAACAACAGCATCACTCACCACAGATCAACAACAGCATCACTCACCACAGATCAACAACAGCTTCACTCACCACAGATCAACAACATCATCACTCACCACAGATCAACAACAGCATCACTCACCACAGATCAACGACAGCATCACTCACCACAGATCAACAACGCATCACTCACCACAGATCAACAACAGCATCACTCACCACAGATCAACAACAGCATCACTCACCACAGATCAACAACAGCATCACTCACCACAGATCAACAACAGCATCACTCACCACAGATCAACAACAGCATCACTCACCACAGATCAACAACAGCATCACTCACCACAGATCAACAACAGCTTCACTCACCACAGATCAACAACATCATCACTCACCACAGATCAACAACAGCATCACTCAGCACAGATTAACAGCATCACTCACCACAGATCAACAACAGCATCACTCACCACAGATCAACAACAGCATCACTCACCACAGATCAACAACAGCATCACTCACCACAGATCAACAACAGCATCACTCACCACAGATCAACAACAGCATCACTCACCACAGATCAACAACAGCATCACTCACCACAGATCAACAACAGCATCACTCACCACAGATCAACAACAGCATCACTCACCACAGATCACTAACAACAGTATCACTCACCACAGATCAACAACAGCATCACTCACCACAGACTAACAACAGTATCACTCACCACAGATCAACAACAGCATCACTCACCACAGATCAACAACAGCATCACTCACCACAGATCAACAACAGCATCACTCACCACAGATCAACAACAGCATCACTCACCACAGATCAAAACAGCATCACTCACCACAGATCAACAACAGCATCACTCACCACAGATCAACAACAGCATCACTCACCACAGATCAACAACAGCATCACTCACCACAGATCAACAACAGCATCACTCACCACAGATCAACAACAGCATCACTCACCACAGATCAACAACAGCATCACTCACCACAGATCAACAACAGCATCACTCACCACAGATCAACAACAGCATCACTCACCACAGATCAACAACAGCATCACTCACCACAGATCACTAACAACAGTATCACTCACCACAGAACAACAGCATCACTCACCACAGATCTCCACGCCGTTCACCACCTCAGTAACAACCAGAGGCAGGAAGCTGGGGTACACAACTTGGAATCTGTACATGATGTTATCCCCGGCATTAAGGTTGACTCCCGGGAAGGTGAGGATAAAGTGGTAATCATCAATCTTGGTAACGTCACCTGAGTAGTTCTGTGACACCAAAGTCAAAAAATAAGATAAAATATGAGGTTTATTGAGACGTTTTGACCACCAGGGGCTTTATCAATAGATTTATTTTCGTCTCGGTATACTGGCATGATTAGTCTTTTAAAAAAAAAGTCCACTAAAATTAAATATACACATATAAAGCATTTGTTTAATTTTAAAAAAAAATTCTGCCAGGTAAATGTTTTTGTCGGTGTTAAATGTATCTTTTTTCGAAAATAAAATGAATATGGTTAAGAGACTTTAACTTGTAAAACACTTTCAACACGTGTAAATAATATAGAGGTGTAAATTTGCATAATCTTTTTTGTTTTAACCATGTCAACAGAATTGAAGCAGGATTAATTTCTAATTGCAGACGAATAAGGCTGATATAGTGATAATGGCAGGAAGAGGAATTAGATATTTAAATAATGAAATGAGTTAAGGGAATATAGGCAGAGATAAGGAAGAAGAGATTATCAGCTAAGATAGAGGAAGTTAATTTGGGTACCTGGACCTGGAGTTTACCTGGAGAGAGTTCCGGGGGTCAACGCCCCCGCGGCCCGGTCTGTGATCAAGCCTCCTGGTGGATCAGAGCCTGATCAACCAGGCTGTTACTGCTGGCTGCACGCAATCCAACGTACGAGCCACAGCCCGGCTGGTCAGGTACTGACTTTAGGTGCTTGTCCAGTGCCAGCTTGAAGACAGCCAGGGGTCTATTGGTAATCCCCCTTATGTATGTTGGGAGGCAATTGAACAGTCTCGGGCCCCTGACACTTATTGTATTGTCTCTTAACGTGCTAGTGACACCCCTGCTTTTCATTGGGGGGATGTTGCATCGTCTGCCAAGTCTTTTGCTTTCGTAGTGAGTGATTTTCGTGTGCAAGTTCGGTACTAGTCCCTCTAGGATTTTCCAGGTGTATATAATCATGTATCTCTCCCGCCTGCGTTCCAGGGAGTACAGGTTCAGGAACCTCAAGCGCTCCCAGTAATTGAAGTGTTTTATCTCTGTTATGCGCGCCGTGAAGGTTCTCTGTACATTTTCTAGGTCAGCAATTTCACCTGCCTTGAAAGGTGCTGTTAGTATGCAGCAATATTCCAGCCTAGATAGAACAAGCGACCTGAAGAGTGTCATCATGGGCTTGGCATCCCTAGTTCAGATACAAATAAATACAGTTACACTAATTTTCTAGGATAACCCAAAAGAATCAGAGCGATTCTTGGTTATTGTTTAAAGTGCTTGATTTCACACATTAAAAATTTTAGGAAATTGCATTGCTGATGATGGTAGACCTTGATGTTAGGTGAGCAGGGGACTTACCACAATCTCGTCGACTGGTCTACTGAAGGTCATCTCCACAGAAAGGTCTTCAATGTCTATGGGAGCTGGTGCATTGAAGTCAGCCTGGTAATTATCCTCCCACTCGTTAATAATCTCAACGTTGTCACACTGCGCCTGCGCTCCTGTCAACACAATACAACGTAAAGTAGTTAAATCACTTAGAAAATGTCAATACATAGACCTCAACTCATCTAGCAATCTCAGTTACATGTCTGGTCTGTGTTCATAGTGTTAGACTCAAAATTCGATTCATTTTTATAAGAACAATAAGGTCGGCCTAAATGAAGTAAGAAATTGGAACGACCTGACTATGGGTCAGGTAGGTGGTGTTCGCTGTCAATATGACATCCCCCAGAGCACAGTTCTAGCTGCCCAGACAACTTATGTTCCAAGTAGGGAAATTAGATCAACAAAAAATGATCCCAAATAGATAAACAATAGAATAAAACATCTCACTGGTCAAAAGAGAGGCATATATAGGTGTATCAAAAGAGGGGATGGGCAGTTAAGAAATCAATATATTCAATTAAAGAGAAAAATAAAAAAAAAAGGGAATAAGAAAAGCTAAGAGAGATTATGAGGTTAAAGTGACAAGGAATTCGAAGACTAACCCAAGAGGTTTCTTTCAGGTATATAGAAGTAAGATTTGGGACAAGAGTCACCCACTCAATAGTAACTCAGGTCAGATCACTGACCGTAATAAGGAAATGTGTGACATTTTTAGCTCTTATTTCCTTTCAGTTTTTACGCAGGAAGATAACGAAATTTTAGAAATAATAAATTATGTAGAACAGGAAGATAATAAACTATGCACGATTACAGTAACTAGTGACATGGTCCTCAAACAAATGGAGAAATTAAAACCAAACAAATCCCCAAGTCCTGATGAACTGTTTCGAGGGGTTTTAAAGGAATGTAAAAAGGAGCTTAGCCAACCTTTGGCTAATCTTTTCAACATATCACTACAAACTGGCACAGTGCCAGACAAGTGTTAAATGGCAAATGTAATACCTATTTACAAGGCAGGTGACAGGTCCTTAGCATCGACCTATAGACCAATAAGCCATACCTCCATAGTGGAAAATTTATGGAATCAATAATTGCCGAGGAAATTCGTAGCCATCTTGAAAGGCATAAATTGATTAATGAATCTCAGCATGGTTTTACAAAGGGCGTTCCTGCCTTACGAATTTATTAACTTTTTTTCACCAAGGTATTTGAAGAGGTAGATCGTGGATATGATATTGTGTATATGGACTTGATAAATTAGACATATGTGCAACTCTTGGGTATCTTTATTGAGGAAACGTTTCGCCACACAGTGGCTTCATCAGTCCATACATAGGAGAAACTTGAAAAACAGGAGGAGAATGAGGTAATCAGTCCCTCAACCTTGAGTCGATGTGGTCAGTCCATCAATCTTGAATAGAATACGGCATATGTGCCGAGAAGCAGCTTATAAATCGTAGGCAGGAGAGGTGCAGCAGTCGTAGGTGGTGTCACATATGTTCAATGTGAAAGTAGGTCGTGCCCAAGGGTTAGGCAAGCGAAGAATTCCCAAGTATTAAGATCCCAAGAAGTTGCAGTGTCTGACAGGATTGTAGATAAATGGTTCAGAGAACCGACACGTTGATAAATTAGATACATGTGCAACTCTTGGGCAGTTTAATATAGACAAATGCTAAGTTCTAAACACTGGACAAGAAAATAACCATACCACATATAAACTAAATAATGAAGAACTTAATACCACTGATTCCGAAAAAGGATTTGAGAGTTCTAGTTAGCGGTAATCTAATACCAAGACAACAGTGCATAAGTGTTCGCAACAAAGCGAACAGAATCCTTGGCTTCATATCAAGGAGCATAAATAACAGTAGTCCTCAGGTTGCTCTTCAACTCCATATATCCTTGGTTAGGCCTCATTTAGATTATACTGTACAGTTCTGGTCACCGTATTACAGAATGTAGACGAATGGTTCAGAGGACAGACAAGTTGATGAATTAGACACATATGCAACACTTGGGTATCTTTATTGAGGAAACGTTTGGCCACACAGTGTCTTCATCAGTCCATACAAAGGAGAATGGTGAAGAACAGGAGGAATTTGAGGTAATCAGTCCCTCAGCCTTGAGTGGTTGGATATTCTAAATGCGCTGGAAAACGTACAAAGGAGAATGACAAAGTTGATCCCATGTATCAGAAATCTTCCCTGTGAGAATAGACTGAGGCCCTGAATCTGCACTCTCTAGAAAGGCATAGAATTAGGGGAGATATGATTGAGGTGTATAGATGGAAAACGGGAATAAATAAAGGGAATGTAAATAGTGTGCTGAAATGTATCTAGCCAAGACAAGACTCGCAGCAATGGATGAGTGGAACAAACTCCCGAGTACCGTCAAAAAGCTAAAACGTTGTGTAGTACTAAAATTAGATTGGATAAATACAGCTGTGGGTGTGGGTGTGGGTGGGTGTAAGTTGGACCTGACTAGCCTGTGCTAATAGGTCTGATGCCGTGCTCCTTCTTTAAGTGGATGTGACCTGACTAGGTGGGTCATTGGTTTAAGCCGGGAGGTGACTTGGACCTGCCTCGCATGGGCTAGTAGGCCTGCTGTTGTATTTCAGAATTGAATAAAGATTTATAAATGACCGATATTTGAAACACTGTGCAAGTTTGAGTTTTGTGTGTAATATAGTATGAGCATAGTAGATATTTTTGTGAGTGACAGCATGATTTATACAGTACCTGAGTGTAGGAGTGTGAGGGCCAGGGCCCCCAGCAGGCAGGTCTTCACCAGGACACCAGTCATGTCTGCTGTAGAGGACACGAACTGGACCACACAACCCCAGCCTCTTATATATCTTCCATTTAATGGCCACACCAAACATTTTTCCGATGCTTCAGACAAGTGCAGCACATATGATTGAAAGATAATGTATCTCTTTGGCTTGCTCGGGTGGTACGCTTCCCACCCTTTTTTTTTTTTTACAACACTAGCTGGTTCCCACCAATGTAAGATGACGCAAAGAAGGAACCACCTTCATCATCACATAATTAGTAGCTGTCTTGCCAGAAGTGTGTACATACATCAGATGAGAGTCAGAACTGCTGTCAGTCAAGGTTGATGGACTGATTACATCGACTCCAGTCTGATGGAATGATTAAGAATATAAGAAAGAAGGGACACTGCAGCAGGACTACTGGCCCATGCGAGGCAGTTCCGAGTCACTCACCTGCCCAAGGCTAGTCAGGGCAGGTCACACCCACTTAAGGAAGGAGCACGGCATCAGATCCATCCCCACTCACACCCACTCATGTATTTATCTAGCTTCTACGACGGTACTCGGGAGTTTGTGCCACTCATCCACAACTCTATTGCCAAACCAGTGCTTTCCTATATCCTTCCTGAATCTGAAATTTTCTAACCTAAAGCCATTGCTGCGAGTCCTGTCTTGGCTAGATATTTTAGCATGTTATTTACATCCTCTTTATTTGTTCCAGTTTTCCTTTAATACACTCAATTATATCCCCCTAATTTTACGCCTTTCTAGAGAGTGCAGATTCAGGGCCTCAGTCTATCCTCATAGGGAAGATTTCTGATACGTGGGATCAACTTTGTCATCCTCCTTTGTATGTTTTCCAGAGCATTTATATCCATTCTGTAATACGGTGACCAAAACTGTGCAGCATAATCTAAATAGGCCTAACCGAAGATATGTAGAGTTGAATGACTGTCCAATAGACTGTCAAACAGACTGTCCAATATACTGTCAAACAGACTGTCCAATATGATGAAATTAAGACATGTGCAACATCTGGGTATCTTTATTGTAGACGTTTCGCCATCCAGTGGCTTTATCAATACAAATTCCAGGACATAACTTGAAGACAGTAGAACTATGTATAGAAGATGAGGTAATCAGTCCCTCAACCTAGGAGCAGGTGCGAACAGCACCATAGTCGTGGAGATTCTGAAGCAGAAGCGAGGCGCCTGTACATAGTTCTACTATCTTCAGATTATGTCCTAGAATCTGTATTGATAAAGCCACTGGATGGCGAAACGTCTACAATAAAGATACCCAGATGTTGCACATGTGTCTTAATTTCATCTTGTCGGTATTGTATACCTTTCTTGCACAGACTGTCCAATAGACTGTCAAACAGTCTGTCCAATAGACTGTCCAATAGACTGTCAAACAGACTGTCAAACAGACTGTCCAATAGACTGTCAAACAGATTGTCCAATAGACTGTCTAACAGACTGTCCAATAGACTGTCAGACTGTCCAATAGACTGTCAAACAGACTATCAAACAGACTGTCCAATAGACTGCCAGATAGACAGTCATATAATGACTTTTTACATTTTACCGTCAACGGTGCTGTTTTCCAACGGTCTTGAGCAGTGGCGCAGAGAGAGGGACTGTCTGCTCCCCCTGACCACATTTTTTTTTCAAAAGTGGCGCCTTTTCAACAATATTCAAGGCAGGTTGTTTTTTGGAACTCGACCCCTCCCCAGGGGATGTTCCTTGACGCTGGTGAGGGGCCCTTGATCTAGGAAATTGGATCTGTGCTCCAGTTCCCTTAATTGAGCCTGAATACCTTCCACACATCCCTACAGGCGCTGTATAATCCCTACGGGATTAGCGCTTCCATTATAATAATTCTGGTATTCGAGAAAGTGTCTATACCATTTTGTCCTGGCAGTTTACCTCGTCTTTCCGTACTATGAGAAGAACACAATCGGATCAAATCTTTCCTACCGACTCTAAAGAAACCTTGTGGTCCTAGATGGGAATCCAGAAGGTCGGCAGTAAAGGCAGTCCTGCAGAATTTACCAGCACTAGATAAAAAACTACTCATAAACAGCTGACTGAGGCAAAGGGGGTAAACTGGCAACACTCGGTACCTGCGAATTCTTAGTTTTTATAATAATTCTTTTCAAGATTGATGGGCTGATTACATTGACTCCAAACTGAGGGATTGATTACCTCAAACTCCTTCTAATCTTCACTTTCTTTGTATTGGACTGATGAAGCCACTGAGTGGAGAAACGTTTCCACAATAGAGATACCCAAGTGTTGGACATGTGTCTAATTATTATTATTATTATTATTACAGATTCGCCGGTATTCTCCCGGCCCGGGCCTTTTCCAAGTGGTGGCCCGGCCTTGGCTCCCTCTTTAGGGAGTGTCTGAGACCCAAGTCTCCCATGGGAAGAGGCACAAGTACCTCCTCATCTTTGGGACCAACTGTCCCCAGACCTAGCCACAAGCTAGACCTATCTGGTCTGCCATCCCCGCCCCAAGGGAACTAATGGGAATGACAGTCTTGTGAGCTGTAAGCTCTGGCTCAGGCACCTACCCTACCCTAGAAGGGTTAGGCATGGTGTCGATCCATGATGTGTCTAATTCATCTACTTGTCGGTTCTCTGGACTTTATCTATATATAATAAAGTAATAGATAACTGTGCTAGAATGAATCCTAGATAAAAGAAACTATTGTAGTTGCTTCACATTGCTTCGTTTTTTTTCAATTTGCGTTTAAAATCAAAATTAAATGACACAAATGTTTATATTATGTTTTGAGATTTATCAGTTTATTGTATAACTTTATTATTTTGATTATAACAAATAAAAATGTGTAATGAATGTAAAATTATTAGGTACATGTGGCCAGAAGTAACAGCTTGGCTGATCAGACCCTGATCCACCACGAGGCCTGGTCTCAGACCGAGCCGCGGGGGCGTTGACCCCCAAAACCCTCTCCAGGTAATGTCATGGCGTATTATTTAAAGTGCTGGTCCCCCCTAACTTTAAATCATGGCTGCGCCCCTCGTCTTCACTCGAAAAGTGAATATCTGACGTTTCTGATGACGGTCTACATCTGCCCAGAAAACACCTGATGCAGTACCTGGGTTGTAAAATGTATTCCTTTTCCCAGGAAGATAACCTGGGTACAGGCTGTATTCTGTTATCTGTTTTGTTTTTTTCATGTACTTCAAGTTCTCTTGTTGATGCTGTTGTGATTGTATCCCACGTACTTGATGTGGTTCGTGATATATTCTGCATGTATGACCTTGAATACCACGTACTTGATGTGGTTCGTGATATATTCTGCATGTATGACCTTGAATACCACGTACTTGATGTGGTTCGTGATATATTCTGCATGTATGACCTTGAATACCACGTACTTGATGTGGTTCGTGATATATTCTGCATGTATGACCTTGAATGCCACGTACTTGATGTGGTTCGTGATATATTCTGCATGTATGACCTTGAATGCCACGTACTTGATGTGGTTCGTGATATATTCTGCATGTATGACCTTGAATGCCACGTACTTGATGTGGTTCGTGATATATTCTGCATGTATGACCTTGAATACCACGTACTTGATGTGGTTCGTGATATATTCTGCATGTATGACCTTGAATACCACGTACTTGATGTGGTTCGTGATATATTCTGCATGTATGACCTTGAATACCACGTACTTGATGTGGTTCGTGATATATTCTGCATGTATGACCTTGAATACCACGTACTTGATGTGGTTCGTGATATATTTTGCATGTATGACCTTGAATACCACGTACTTGATGTGGTTCGTGATATATTCTGCATGTATGACCTTGAATACCACGTACTTGATGTGGTTCGTGATATATTCTGCATGTATGACCTTGAATACCACGTACTTGATGTGGTTCGTGATATATTCTGCATGTATGACCTTGAATACCACGTACTTGATGTGGTTCGTGATATATTCTGCATGTATGACCTTGAATACCACGTACTTGATGTGGTTCGTGATATATTCTGCATGTGTGACCTTGAATACCACGTACTTGATGTGGTTCGTGATATATTCTGCATGTATGACCTTGAATACCACGTACTTGATGTGGTTCGTGATATATTCTGCATGTATGACCTTGAATACCACGTACTTGATGTGGTTCGTGATATATTCTGCATGTATGACCTTGAATACCACGTACTTGATGTGGTTCGTGATATATTCTGCATGTATACCTCTGACTTATTTCCATTGTGGTCCTTGTAATATCTTATTATTTAAGCCTTGAAAATTAATAAAAAAAACATTGTGAAAATCATTTACAACACAAGAAGATGTAATAAGAATAAGGTAAACTTTTAATATATAAAAATGAGTTAAGAATTTTGAATGACTCCTGGTACAAGTTGTTACAGGAAACTTTAAGTTCATCTGTATGATGACCAAGTTACGCGCCTGGTTTCCCTCATGAGGTAGATTCAGAATGATGTCTGCCCACTGAAGTTATTTTTTCTAAAATAATTATTAATTTATTATTATTATTTATTCGTCCTTTCACGAATTCACGAATTCAGGACAATTCACATATTCGTCCTTTCAGGACGAATATGTGAATTGTTTTCTTTTTATTCTTATCATAATTTTCCCTTAGTTTCTTTTTTTTTTTTTGGTCTATTATATATCACTGCCAATATTATTTTTTTTATCCAGACATTACAGTGACTGCTATGTAATATACGAAATATCCTGTATTTTTTAAAGTCTTAGATAGTTCTCAACCATTGATGATACATCCACCTCCTCCTTCTGGACTTATTTTCTAGTTGGTGCTCCTCTGGGAATATTCCATTTGTTACTCACGAAATCGTAATAACACGGAACGGGTAGGACTTGAACCCATGACGAGTGAGTTCTAAAATTGCAGGCTGAGTGATTTACGCACTGACCTGGAGTTTTAGGACTCATTATGGATTCAAACTCCACCAGTCCCATGGTGTATTCCACTTGTTATTATTCCTAAAAGTTTTGTCTCTGTGATAGCTATAATATCAAGGTTTTCCTCTCTTATTCTTTCTTTCGTGACTTCACATTTCATGGGGATTTCCTGCGTATCTCGTACTGTTTTCCAAACTATTTTCTTACCTCTCCTCTGGAATTAATGACTCAGGAGTCTTGAAGTCTTAGCCCATCTCCCGGATTCCCTTTTTTCCATGTTAATTCGCCCCTCTTGAGACAGCTTCCCTATTTCTTGTGTACATGCATGTAACTGCGTGCGTGCATGGGCTGTAGAATACAACATTAACACCATCTTCCAGATATCGATTTTGAGTAGCCTAAGGATCGTTCAGTAATATAAACCACAAGTAAAATATTTATGACCTCGTGAGAAGAGGAAATTAATGGAGATTTAAAAGAAATGAAGTATGAGACTGCAGTATTAAAAAAACTGCTCTCTACAGCAATCATAAGGAAGATTTACACGCTCGAAAATCCCCAACTTTTCCAGTTTGACGATAAAATTGATCTCAAAAGCTAGAAGACTTAGAGAGGAGAAAATCACATGTTGATTAGTATTAGGCAGTGTATTGTAGTGAATACTGTTTAAAAAAACCGCTCCATATATAATGTCATTTTCCGGGATATGTTCTGAAACCGGACGTGTATTATTCCTGGTCAGTAAGAGTGGCCAGGAAAGGAGAATGAGGTATATATTAGTACGAGCGGCAGGGAGGAATCGTCATGGTTAGGCGTTGGTGTAAGTAGGTGGGAGTGATTTTTTTTTTTTTTTTTTTTAGGTTCATACCCTAGGTTATTTTATTGTTTTAAGTGCTCTCATGTTTACCTGAAAGTCCCTAATGTGCAGAGGCCTGTTGAAGTTTTGGGAGAGTACTCTTATGGTATTTTTGCCTGGGGGGGGGGTCATGGAGTCTCTCTTTCATAATGTTTATATATTTCATACCCAACCCGCACATAGAAGAGAGGAGCTTACGACGACGTTTCGGTCTGACTTGGATCATTTACAAAGTACTAGTGAGCTACTGTGAGTACTGGATAAAGGTGAACTGGAGTGATAATGTTGGTTGTGGTGGAGTAGATTGTATATGTAAACTTAATATATATATATTTTTAATATAGTCGACTTTTTGTGTCCTTCCTTATATTACATTGACCATTTAAATTTATGCTTCATAATTTATATACTGGCCCTAGAGTGGTTTCATTTTCTATTTTACAATTCATAACCAGACAGCTGTGGATGATTTTAATCCTAACCTAATAATAATATTCTGTATATTAACCCTTAAACTGTCCAAACGTAGATCTACGTTTTTTCAACATTTGAATCTATGTAAAAAAAGTAGATCTTTTTTTTTTAATTTGAAAACGTAAAAAAACTGATCTACTTTTTTTGTTATATTTGACAATTTGTAAAAAACGTAGATGTGCTTTTGGAGAATTACGCATTCCACAAAGGGGGCAGTAAAGCAACAGCAAAGAACTACAGACCAATAAAAATAAAAATCTTTGAAAGGGTCCTAAGAAGCAAGATCACCACCCATCTAGAAACCCATCAGTTACACAACCCAGGGCAACATGGGTTTAGAACAGGTCGCTCTTGTCTGTCTCAACTATTGGATCACTACGACAAGGTCCTAAATGCACTAGAAGACAAAAAGAATGCAGATGTAATATATACAGACTTTGCAAAAGCCTTCGACAAGTGTGACCATGGCGTAATAGCGCACAAAATGCGTGCTAAAGGAATAACAGGAAAAGTCGGTCGATGGATCTATAATTTCCTCACTAACAGAACACAGAGAGTAGTCGTCAACAGAGTAAAGTCCGAGGGAGCTACGGTGAAAAGCTCTGTTCCACAAGGCACAGTACTCGCTCCCATCGTGTTCCTCATCCTCATATCCGACATAGACAAGGATGTCAGCCACAGCACCGTGTCTTCCTTTGCAGATGACACCCGAATCTGCATGACAGTGTCTTCCATTGCAGACACTGCAAAGCTCCAGGCGGACATCAACCAAATCTTTCAATGGGCTGCAGAAAACAATATGAAGTTCAACGATGAGAAATTTCAATTACTCAGATATGGTAAACATGAGGAAATTAAATCTTCATCAGAGTACAAAACAAATTCTGGCCACAAATAGAGCGAAACACCAACGTCAAAGACCTGGGAGTGATCATGTCGGAGGATCTCACCTTCAAGGACCATAACATTGTATCAATCGCATCTGCTAGAAAAATGACAGGATGGATAATGAGAACCTTCAAAACTAGGGAGGCCAAGCCCATGATGACACTCTTCAGGTCACTTGTTCTATCTAGGCTGGAATATTGCTGCACACTAACAGCACCTTTCAAGGCAGGTGAAATTGCCGACCTAGAAAATGTACAGAGAACTTTCACGGCGCGCATAACGGAGATAAAACACCTCAATTATTGGGAGCGCTTGAGGTTCCTAAACCTGTATTCCCGGGAACGCAGGAGGGAGAGATACATGATTATATACACCTGGAAAATCCTAGAGGGACTAGTACCGAACTTGCACACGAGAATCACTCACTACGAAAGCAAAAGACTTGGCAGACGATGCAACATCCCCCCAATGAAAAGCAGGGGTGTCACTAGCACGTTAAGAGACCATACAATAAGTGTCAGGGGCCCGAGACTGTTCAACTGCCTCCCAGCACACATAAGGGGGATTACCAACAGACCCCTGGCAGTCTTCAAGCTGGCACTGGACAAGCACCTAAAGTCAGTTCCGGATCAGCCGGGCTGTGGCTCGTACGTTGGTTTGCGTGCAGCCAGCAGCAACAGCCTGGTTGATCAGGCTCTGATCCACCAGGAGGCCTGGTCACAGACCGGGCCGCGGGGGCGTTGACCCCCGGAACTCTCTCCAGGTAAACTCCAGGTAAATTGAACGTAGATCTGCTTGGACAGTTTAAGGGTTAATACACTCTCTCACTGTCAGCAAAATACACTCTTTCACTGTCAGCAAAATACACTCTTTCACTGTCAGCAAAATACACTCTTTCACTGTCAGCAAAATACACTCTTTCACTGTCAGCAAAATACACTCTTTCACTGTCAGCAAAATACACTCTCTCACTGTCAGCAAATTTCCAAAAACATTAAGAGTTGATGCTGCTATGTATGATAATCTATGTAACTGTATTTGTGTATACCTGAATAAACTTACTTAGTTACTGATGAGGACTGAGTTACACTGCCACTCACTAATTAAAAAAATGGTTCTAAAATGACCATAATTTTTAAAGGGGTGGACCGGTAAGCCAGTGGAAGGCCTCGGTCAGATGACCAAAAGCTCCAAAGGCGGGTCATCTTCTGGCTAAGACCCGCGTCAGGAAATATTTGCCCTGTTTCCTGACGAACGTTACCTAACTGCCACTCACTACTTTGGTCTAAATGCCCTTAGACTAGGTAGATTGTTTACCCTTTAGTAGCCACGACTTTTATTTACGTTACGCAGCCAAAAAGCGTAACAATTAATTAAAAAAACACAGAAATCGGGATCAGCTGTTTTATTTACTATTTTAATCAGGAATAGACTTATTCTAAACTTTAAATTCCTTGCTTTATTATGCAATAAAAGCAGTTAGTACACACCGGTTATAAAACTATTGCTGGAAAAGTAAAGAATAATAAATCTTTATTAATAATGCGTTTATTTTGTGTGCATTGTTATTCTTCTGGATAAATGTGGCATTTTGATGGGCTGAAGAATCAAAGTAATAAAGTCATTACTCTGACGAAGTTGAGAGTCAAGTCTGGTGATCTAGCTGAGTTCGACCAGAGCGGCCAGAGCTCCAGTGAAGGCAGCGTTGTAGTCACAAGCCACCTCGTTGTGCTGGTAGTCGTGGCGGTCGTCAGTATAGCTGCCATCCTGCCGTAACAAACATAATAATCACTGGGTTAGTCTTGATCGTGAGCCAGCTTTAAATACGATAGATTTTCTTTATTGGAAAAACAAGAAATCCCACTCCAGTACAGAAAGTTTTGAGCTAAAACCCAACATATCACATATTAAGTAATTCCTAGTTGACACAAAGTTTACAGTTTACAAATACCACAGAAACAGAGAACAGCTATGAGTAAGACTCTGGGAAACAGATAAGATACATTCCATCAGGTTTAGCGCAAGACATTCTCTAGTGAAGTGTTCAGTTTAGCATAAGACTTTTTATAGGGCATGAAGCAACACTGTTGATTGATGACAATGATATCTGTAGTCGTCTTGCTGTTAATGGTTTCTCTTCAGTAACTCTTATTAATATATACCGCCATATAATTGCTTTATTTCTTGGACTATAGAAAAATCATATAAGATTCAGTGATTAATCTAGCATCGTTGATCATTAGGAATCATATTGATTGTATACAATATCGAGAAGTAGAACAGATGTACGTACAACAGTTAGGTATCTTTATTCCGAAATGTTTCACCTGTACGGTAGGCTTCTTCAGTCAAATATTACCTGGAGTTTACCTGGAGAGAGTTCCGGGGGTCAACGCCCCCGCGGCCCGGTCTGTGACCAGGCCTCCTGGTGGATCAGAGCCTGATCAACCAGGCTGTTACTGCTGGCTGCACGCAAACCAACGTACGAGCCACAGCCCGGCTGGTCAGGTACCGACTTTAGGTGCTTGTCCAGTGCCAGTTTGAAGACTGCCAGGGGTCTGTTGGTAATCCCCCTTATGTATGCTGGGAGGCAGTTGAACAGTCTCGGGCCCCTGACACTTATTGTATGGTCTCTTAATGTGCTAGTGACACCCCTGCTTTTCATTGGGGGATGTTGCATCGTCTGCCAAGTCTTTTGCTTTCGTTGTGAGTGATTTTCGTGTGCAAGTTCGGTACTAGTCCCTCTAGGATTTTCCAGGTGTATATGATCATGTATCTCTCCCGCCTGCGTTCCAAGGAGTACAGGTTCAGGAACCTCAAGCGCTCCCAGTAATTGAGGTGTTTTATCTCCGTTATGCGCGCCGTGAAGGTTCTCTGTACATTTTCTAGGTCAGCAATTTCACCTGCCTTGAAAGGTGCTGTTAGTGTGCAGCAATATTCCAGCCTAGATAGAACAAGTGACCTGAAGAGTGTCATCATGGGCTTGGCATCCCTAGTTTTGAAGGTTCTCATTATCCATCCTGTCATTTTTCTAGCAGATGCGAGTGATACAATGTTATGGTCCTTGAAGGTGAGATCCTCCGACATGATCACTCCCAGGTCTTTGACGTTGGTGTTTCTCTCTATTTTGTGGCATAATTTGTTTTGTACTCTGATGAAGATTTAATTTCCTCATGTTTACCATATCGGAGTAATTGAAATTTCTCATCGTTGAACTTCATATTGTTTTCTGCAGCCCACTGAAAGATTTGGTTATGTCTGCCTGGAGCCTTGCAGTGTCTGCAATGGAAGACACTGTCATGCAGATTCGGGTGTCATCTGCAAAGGAAGACACGATGCTGTGGCTGACATCCTTGTCTATGTCAGATATGAAGATGAGGAACAAGATGGGAGCGAGTACTGTGCCTTGTGGAACAGAGCTTTTCACCGTAGCTGCCTCGGACTTTACTCTGTTGACTACTACTCTTTGTGTTCTGTTTGTGAGGAAATTATAGATCCATCGACCAACATGGAGACAGCAAAAGTGGAGAGGTAAGAATGATGAGATCATTCCATCAACATGGAAGTAGTTTTGAAGTGGTCAGTTCATCAGATTATTCAAGACTCAAGCTGAGGCTGAGGGACTGATCACCGTATATCCGCATCTCCACGATTCTGCTGTCTCTTCTGTATTTCGACTGAAGAATCCTGCTAAGCAGGTGAAAGTTCTAATCAACATAGATTCCAGACTGTTGCACTTACTCATCTACCTCTTAGGATGGTTATCAGTACCACACCATTTTCATTTTAGCTGTTTACAATACAAATCATTATTCTAGGTTAAGCAAATAATACTAGACCCAGTAAACTGATCCATACACGATCAGTACCTTCTCAAATATAATACAGTATGTATCAGCGGTATTCAATATAACTAGATACTGCACATCCTGACTCAAGGATATAAGCAACAATCTTTCTGTCTGTGCTTCAGATTCTTCAAGACTACGGTGCTTATCACCTGTTACTAGGCTGAGGCACAGATTACCTCATTTTCCACTGTCTTCTGTATATATTTCTAGTCTTCAGAGTATGTCCATCTATTGATAAAGCCAGTGGATTGTGAAACGTCTACAAAGATATCCAGATGTTGCTGATTTATCTAATTCATCTGCACTGGTAGGTCAGTGTATGGAGAAAACCCGGGCCAGGACCAGTCCTGGTGAACCAACCTAAACCTGTACCTATTCCTCACAATACAATATACTAACCCCAGCTGGACCACCGACAAGGGCACCGTAGAGGACGTGTGGACTGGGATCAGGGTTATCAAGAGCCCCTGTACAATCTTGTGGCGGACTCGGGCAAGAGCTGAAAATTTAAAAAAATTACCATTACTCACACTAATTCACTTCATGTAAATATACGTCTGCAGATAATGAGTAAATATTTTGAACTTTATAGGCGAAAATATTATTAAATATTAGAACAAGTAGCGTAAAATAGGTTAGACAAATATGAGAGTGAAAAGAACTAGATTTGATGATTTACGGGTATAAAGTATTCTTCAGTATAGTGGTATAGGTAGCAAGTAGCCTTAACAACCCTTAATCAGTAGACAGGATTCAAACCTAAAAAACAAAACAACTAGTCTACTGGCTTCGCTTATTATGCGACTAGTCACACTATTTCTAGATTCCTACATATTTTTTTTTGTAATACAGTGGTAGAGTGTACCGACAGTATATAAATAACACGCAAAATGCTGATTATTATATTTTATTGTGAAGACGTTTCGCCCACCAGGGACTTTATCAATTTAATACAAAGTTTGTTACCTTGACAATAGAAGAGGTAATCAGTCCCTCAGCCTAGACGATAACATTCACTACCTCAGTCTTCATGAATCTTCTGGTGGACATCTTTTAGGCTGAGTAACTGATTACCAAATTTTTTACACCTAAGCTGAGGGACTTAGTACCTTATTTTCTACTGTCTCCAGTTTCTACACCGATGTATTGTTCTCAGTGTGAATTGATAGTCTCTGGGGGGCGAAACGTCTTCACAATAAAACACCGTAATCCTCATTGTGTGTCTTAGTTAGGTACCTATTTAAAATGTGCACGGAATTTGTGTTTACCTGGAGCGGTGATGGGGTCTCTGAGGAGGGTCTTGACCGAAGCCAACTACAAAAGACCTGTGATATCGAGAGTTGTCTCCCAGCAGCTGGCCAATCTGGCTCCTGGCCCACTCCTGGTTGGCCTCCTTGTCGAAACCGTTCTTGGCCGCCTGAAAGACGAATAAAAAAATTAAAGCACCAGCCGCATCCCACCGAGGCAGGGTGGCCCAAAAACGAAATTTTTTCTTTTTACATTTAGTAATTTATCCAGGAGAAGAGGTTACTAGTCCCTTGCTCCCGGCATTTTAGTTTCCTATCATGTATGGCGGATGAAAAGTTATTCTTAATCTATGACTCTATGTCGACCAGCTTTTAACAAATTAAATGATTTATTAAGTAATGCAACCTAGATAACAACGATAATCAGTATTTTATTACATGTAAACTGCATTTTGTATACTGCAGAAAGAAATAAGTTGTATAATAAAGGTGACTTCTGGAGAAGATACTCACCCAGAGGGAGATGAAGGCGACGTTAGCAGCATGACGGTTGGCGCCCCAGGCATCAAGGTAGACCAGACCTTCAGGGGTGTATGGCGCTGTGGTCTTCAAGTAATTCAGGAACTTAACGAGGTATTGAGAGTACTCAGTGTCACCTGTCAGCAGCCAGAAGATCGACTGTAATGGTAGGGGATGCAGGAAAATGGTTAGTAGGGTTTCGATCCTAAGTCCTTTAAGTACACACTGCAAGTGCCCTACTACTAGAAACATTAACGTTATTTGCTGTAGAAAGTGACAATATCTGGCAGAGGGCGAAACGCAGAAGATAGGAAACCATCATGTTTCATCAAATTTGATGTTCTAGCTTCACAAAGATGTGTTTTTTTTTTTTTGGCATTGTAAGTTTAAAATCAAAATCCAAAAACTGGCGATAACTGAGAAATTAGCATGTAATCCACGTGTTGATAACAATAGTCCTCAAATTGCTGTGTGTAGGTAACTCACGTAGATTCCGGCCCGTTTGTCGTCCCAGGAGAACGAAGCCAAGTAACTGGTTAAGTCGAACTCTTCCCAGTGTCCTTTGGCTCGCGAGAGATAGGTGTCATCCCCTGTGGCTCTTGCCAACCACAGAGCAGCCCAACACAGCTCATCACCGTACCCACTCCATGATCTGTAGAGTAGAAAAAAAGATAAAACAGTTACAAGGTGACAAATTATTGCCTCTCACGAATAAAAGCGAGAAATTGGGCCTCACTGAATTAGTGAACAGTGAGATTTCAAGCATAGAGATCGACAGTGTTAGACATTGAAACATACCACTAAACAAACTCGGCATGTGGTTTCCTGTGTTGCACCGAAAGAATTATATCTCAACAGTTTCGCAACATATTAAAGTAATTATGAAATGTATATTTGATGTCAAGCATTATCAATAAATCTTGTAGCTTTTCTGTTTGATGATTCACAGAGAACCCCTTCAAAAATATGATTGGTGTCAGTAGTGGGATGGATAATAGCAAATGATTACTGACCATATCTGCATACTGAGAAAGTTGCAGCAACATCCAAATGAGTATCAGGGATAGCAACAGCAAATTGATACCTAGTTGCAGAAGACAGAGTGGCAGCTAAGACTTCCTGACAACAAATGATATAACTAGTAGTGAATTTGACAGGGGAACGGCAGGACAACAATAGAAGGTACAGCAAACCACGGAACGGGTGAAGTTTGAACCATTAAAATGGTATAAAATACCGACAGGTTGTTAGGTAAGACACATATGCAACAGTTAGGTATCTTTATTATGAAACGTTTCGCCTACACAGTAGGCTTCTTCAGTCAAGTACAGAAAAGTTGATAGAAGCAGAAGATACTTGAAGACGATGTAATCAGTCCATCACCCTTAAAGTTTTGAGGTGGTCAGTCCCTCAGTCTGGAGAAGAGCATTGTTCCATAGTATGAAACAATATCCATAGTATGAATATTGTTTCATACTATGGAACAATGCTCTTCTCCAGACTGAGGGACTGACCACCTCAAAACTTTAAGGGTGATGGACTGATTACATCGTCTTCAAGTATCTTCTGCTTCTATCAACTTTTCTGTACTTGACTGAAGAAGCCTACTGTGTAGGCGAAACGTTTCATAATAAAGATACCTAACTGTTGCATATGTGTCTTACCTAACAAGTTTGAACCAGTTTCGTGGTTTGTTTACAATCGTGTCACGATCTCGTGAGTCATGAAGTTCAAGCAATTGATCAACAGTAACACGGCAACTGCAGAAGTACATTACTTAAGATGTCTAACTGTCTTACTAAATACTCGTCTGTCGATCTGGCAGCAAGATCACCCAACACATGAAACATTCTTTACAATACGTACTGGTAGTAAGCCTTCACATCCTCGATAGAGTTGTCGTACTTCTCACGGAAGTTGTCGGCGAAGTCGTAGAGCTCCTTAGCTACGTCCAGCATCTCTGAGGCGTAAGCTGAGTCCACATCCTGAGAGCGAAAGTAAAAAGTAAAGCAAAGTTTAACTTCCAAGATACATTGTATTGCATTTACAAGTTTCATTTATGGAAAAGTCTTTAGTTAGGCAACGAGACGGTGAGAGAGAAGACTCTAAATTGATGATTGAATATCACATCTAAAGTAAACAGGTCTTTGGAAGTCAGTTATAACAAAATAAACTGCAGAAACTATGGCATAAATTCAGGAGTGTGAAGAACAAAAGTCACAATACAGTGACTGGAACAATACACAAATAACCCGCACGTAGGAGAGAGAAGCCTTTGAAAAAGACTCTTATCTACATTCAGGACATTTTTTAGAGGAAACGTTTCGGCCACGAGTGGCTTATTCAGTCCTAATACATACAGAGATAACTAAGAACGAGTATATATTGTGGTAGGAGTCAGGTGGTAAGCTACGAGAGGATACCAGTGGTACAACTGTGGTGTGATGGGTTGGGTTTGGGAAGAACCTCTTAACGTGATTTTACAGCGGTCTCCAGAATAGGTAATATTCTGTTGATCAGTTTGGAAATATTGTAACTTAGTGATTTTTGGTGGAAAGGGTTATTGACAAAAATTAGGGAAGCCTCAAAACACTGTGTAACTACTTAATGGTCCGAGTCGGACCGAAACGTCTCATATGTGCGGGTTATTTGTGTATTTGAGTGTGAATATAGCATTAACAGATATAACAAATAAAGCACCATAAGCAAGTATCTAAATCCGTGCCATAAACTGTATGAGAAAAGGAGCAACAGATAATAAAGGCCTGCATACGAGAATTTAACAAACAGAGCAAGAACAACAGGAACCTCCCTTCAGGAGAGCTCTCATGCTTTTCAAAGACTACTGAACCAAAATAACTGGATCTAATTGTCCTTTCCTCAAATAACACTTGATTATCTCTCATTCCTTAAGTTCTGTAGAGTCCCTACGGGCTCATTGTTTCCCTGTAAATAATACAGATGAGACCGAGGGATTACCTTGAAAACAATGGAGGCGGCCGCCAGGGCAGCTGCTGTCTCCCCGGCCAACTCGCTTCCTGAAAGGAGAGATGGACATCTTTAGCAATGCTCGTCAGTATTACACACTCAATATTTGTCAGTGTATTTACATTATAATCTTTCGCACTATGAGGGTAGAATTAAACGGAATTAAAATAAATTTGTGGGCAGTGAATATCTTGTGAGATGTGAGTATTCAGTATCTTTTTCTCCAGGTGTTCCATATACAGGCTGGCCATGACAGCACTCAGGAGTGAACCCAATGCCTTAGTCTTCAAGTCTTACTAACCAGCATGTGCTTCGTCAATTTTATATGAAGGTCTCTCCATGGTCATGATCTCAGGGCGGCCCCAGTACGAGTGGTCCACATCACCTTTACCAACCTGAAAAATATCCCAGTATATATAATAATGCTTTCGAATTTCTGTCTTTACTTTAATTTTTTTCTGTTAGTAACATGAGGAATATTTGGTTCTTTAACTGTTTCTCATTATTTTTTTGTTCTCTGTGTATTCTTATACACTGTTTGAACCTCTTTTCTTTTACATTTCTCATACCTTTCCCTCCTTCCATTGTCATTAATGTCTACGTTGCTAGTGAATGATTTAATGGTTTATGCATCATCACATCTGTTAAGTTGACTGCCCTTGAAGGTTTATAGAATAGTATGTCTCATTAACTGCAGAAGGAATTCTCACCTGGCCGTAGAGTTCGTCCTTGGCAGTGTGAGCCTTGAGGAAATAATCTGTGGCCCATTTGAGTGCCACTCGACCATATTCCGTCTGACCTGTGGGGAGAAGAGTCAGTGAGCAAGCAAACAAGTTTATTTAGCTCCAGGTACACAGAGGTATACTAGCTGAGAACAGCAACTCCCCAAGGAAGACCGTAGGATGCTGCTAGACTCAGCCCGTCCTTCTGATCACAGTCATCATTTCACTGTTGTACAATCGAACACAGCCTCATGAAGGAACCTTAAACAGTGAAAACCTAAAATAGTTCTGTCTACCATGCTCAGTGGCAGAACTTTTCATTGGCCTTATCTCATATTTATATTTGTTTCCTTTGTGGTATGTTACAATTGTTTTTTTTTTTAATGTATAGAGGACATCCTAACCTAGATATCTATCATCTGTCATCCTAACCTAGCCTAGAAATCCTCTGAAAACTGTAAGTGAGAACATAGATGCATACGGGAATTAAGAGGCTGGGTTGCTAAGCTACAAAGCCTACGGCTTTCTAATGCATCACATAAGATATCTATAGAAGAAACCTTTTTATTACAATACAAGAAATTTTGTGGATACTGAAGTAATGGGACTCGTTTATAAATATAATAATAAACCGAAGTACGACACAAACCCTCACGGACACAATAGAGCAAAATATGTTTATCGTTAATGTTGCCATCACATCGAGGCACTCTCAGTATCAGGGAACGGGTGGGGTTTGAACCCATGGCAAGTGAGTCCTAAAACTCTGGTTTATTTTCAATCGTGTCATTACGATTTCGTGAGTCATGAAGGCCCTCTTCATCAAACTGAATAATGAGGTACACAAACTATGTTCTGGGTGTGGCAATGAAGACTGTCATGTACAACTAAGTTACACTTAGGAGAGTAAACTTACGACGACGCTTTGATCCGTCTTGAAACATTGTGAATTCACAGTTCTGGCTTGACAGTGATCCAGGAAAGACCGAAACGTCGTCCTAAGTTCTATAATTATAGAGAATATAGCAGGTAAAAAGACACAAGTGCAACTAATGTGACATTGTGGCGACATTTCGCTCTCCAGGAACTTTGTCAAGCCGTTATGTAACAGCTTGACAACCCTCCTAGAGAACGAAACGTTGCCACAATAAAATGTCACATTAGTTGCACTAGTGTCCCTTTATCATCTTAGGTATCCTAACCTAAATACAGATTAGTTGTATGCTGTTCCTACCTCGGTATTGTGACTTATTATTTTTCAATACATTATCATGGTGGATTCTTCAATATAAGCAGCAGCACTCACCAGCAGCTTCATGTCCTTCAGCGAAGTCAATGAGGCCCCAAGCCAGCACAGTGGCGGTGTAAGCCATGGGGAAGCCAAACTTGACGTGGTCACCAGCTACAGACAAGGAAACGGTCATTTAATAATACTGTAATAACAATAACAAAATAATAATAACTAATAATAATAATCCTTATTTCTACAAATACATGATATAACCTATACAGAGGAAAGATTTCCTCTCTCAGAGAGACTGGTTGGGTGCCTCCACACTACTGTCGTGGGGGTTCGAAAGGAGATATGATGGTTGAAGATAAACACACTTGTTGGATGGTAACACTATATATTGTCAGACTGTGGTAAGGAAGGGCCCGGCCTGCCTGTTACTGCCTGGTGTAGGTCTCCGCGTGGACTGAGAGCGAGGTAGCGGGTCCCACTCACTCATGCCGCATCCCGTGACGTCATACAGTCACTAGGCCTAATAGGGATCTTCTATATAAACACATGGATGGTACTATGATACTCAGCTAAGATATACAACACATGTAAGGGGATCAGCAACTATGCTGACACTACCACTCTCTGAAAACTAACTCTACTTCTCCTGTTATTGCCTTTGTAACATTACACAGCTCCTGATGATGCAGTGAGAAGTGTGAAAGTACTTGAGCTAAAGATATCCACCCCTCGTAGATTGTCTTGCATTGTTAAGATTGCCTGTCTGCGATTGTCTTATATAAATATATATATATATATATATATATATATAAATATATATATATATATATATATATATATATATATATATATATATATATATATAATATATTATATATATGTCGTGCCGAATAGGCAGAACTTGCGATCTTGGCTTAAATAGCAATGCTCATTTTGCCATATAGGACAAGTGAAAATTTGTGTATGCAATAATTTTGCCAATATCATTCTGAACCTAACGATAAAAATATATTTCACTGTGTTTAGTATTAAATTATTGTAAACAAATCTAAAATATATTTAGCTGGGTTAGGCTAAAATAAATTGCGCTTGTTATAATAAGGTTAGGTAAGTTTTCGAAGTTCCTTTTGTTGCAAAATTATAAATTTTTACATCAACATTAATGAAAAAAATATATCTTTAAACGTATAAGAGAAAATTTTAGAAAGGTCTTAATTTTAAATGAGTTCTTGCTAATTGACCAGTTTTACATGACTCAAGAAATCGTAATGACACGATTGCAAATAAACCATACCCCCGGCCGGGATTGAACCCGCGGTCATAGAGTCTCAAAACTCCAGCCCGTCGCGTTAGCCACTAGACCAGCTAGCCACAATAAGATTCATCCAACTAGGTATATTTCTACACCATAGGAAAGTTAGCACAGGCACCTCTGTGACCACAAATGCAAGTTTTTACAGACGAATCTCCAGCTAGCGTGGCCGTGACGAACTCTAGCTCAAGTCCCTTCACTGCCGTCAACATGACTGCTAGCTGGTCTAGTGGCTAACGCGACGGGCTGGAGTTTTGAGACTCTATGACCGCGGGTTCAATCCCGGCCGGGGGTATGGTTCAGTTTTACATATTCGGCACGACATATATATATATATATATATATATATATATATATATATATATATATATATATATATATATAGTGTGTGTGTGTGTGTATATGGGGAAGCAAGTTTAAGTGCAACATTCAAAATTTCGTGTTAAATTCCCATGCGTGATCTTCAGAATTTAGTGAAATACCGACAATTTTAACTTCTTGATCTCAAGCTACCAGGTGAGAACTACAGCAACATCTATAAAAGTAGTTTAGTGTTCTTAGCAGATAATTTTGAGATCGAGCATTACGATTATATTCTCACCATCATAGTAGCCACCAGTAAGGTCATGACCAACATCAGAACCGTCATCAAGAGCTGAGTCACCACGCCAAGTGACGCGCTGATCAGCAGGAAGCTTGCCTGACCGCTGAGCCTCGTAGAACACATAGGACATGCACAGTACCTGAGGATGAGAGGTGAGGTGAGGCAAGGGGAAGGAACGAGAGGTAAGGAGTCTCTAAAGGAGTCCAAAACACTGATTATTTTGATGGTTCCAACCATGTTGTACGACCCAAACGATTTTAACCATTGTTTGAAAATAATAATAATTAAATGATAATGTTAGGTAAACGGACACAAGTACAACTAATGTGACATTTTACTGTGGCAACGTTTCGCTCTCCAGGAGCTTTGTCAAGCCTTTACGGCTTAACAAAGCTCCTGGAGAGCGAAACATTGCCACAATAAAATGTCACATTAGTTGCACTTTTATCCTTTTGCCTAACATATTTTCAGTAATTCTACCAACACTATTGCAATAATAATAATAATAATAATAATAATAATAATAATAATAATAATAATAATAATAATAATAATAATAATAATAATAATAATAATAATAATAATAATGATGATAATAATAATAATAATAACAATAATAATAATAATAATAACAATAATAATAATAATAATAATAATAATAATAATAATAATAATAATAATAATAACAATAATAATAATAATAATAATAATAATAATAATAATAATAATAATAATAATGTGAACTTTGCAAGGCTTACTAACCTGGCTGTAATCGTAAGGCTTCATACCAGTCTCAGCACAAGGGTTCTCCATGGGTGTAGGTGTTGTGAAGGTCGCGTCTGAGAACCATACAAATCAGATGTTATGACTGTTTTATGTACCACAGAAAACACTTTCATTATATACCATAGAAGGGATTTTAATTATATACCTTAGAGAACGGTTTAATTATGGTATAAACCTCGGTAATAAATACCCACAAGTTGTGCAAGAAAAACACGTAAGCAAACAATAGGACATATTAGAAAACGTTTCGGTCCTGGGACCTTGATCACTTCTGTGTGATCAAGGTCCCAAGACCGAAACGTTTTCTATGTCCTAGAAAATATTCGGGTTAGATTCCCCAAAGAACATTTAAGTTAGATAAAACCGGAAATTTTCTAGTTATCAACAAAAAAGTCTGAGTTAGATTCAGCTGAAAACTTTTCATTTAAACACAAGAAAAAACATTTGAGTTAAATGTTAGTGAAAATGTTGAGCTAGATTCTGCAGCCCAGGTGTAAATTATTAGTTATCAAGGAAAAGTTACAAAGGTACCAAGGAAAAGTTACAAAGGTACCAAGGAAAAGTTACAAAGGTACCAAGGAAGTTACAAAGGAACCAAGAAAAAGTTACAAAGGTGCCAAGGAAAAGTTACAAAGGTACCAACGAAAAGTTACAAAGGTACCAAGGAAGTTACAAAGGAACCAAGAAAAAGTTACAAAGGTGCCAAGGAAAAGTTACAAAGGTACCAACGAAAAGTTACAAAGGTACCAAGGAAAAGTTACAAAGGTACCAAGGAAAAGTTACAAAGGTACCAACGAAAAGTTACAAAGGTACCAAGGAAAAATTACAAATGTGCCAAAGAAAAGTTACAAAGGTACCAAGGAAAAAGTTACAAAGGTACCAAGGAAAAAGTTACAAAGGTACCACGGAAAAGTTACAAAGGTACCAAGGAAAAAGTTACAAATGTACCAAGGAAAAAGTTACAAAGGTACCACGGAAAAGTTACAAAGGTACCAAGGAAAAGTTACAAAAGTGCCAAGGAAAAGTTACAAAGGTACCAAGGAAAAGTTACAAAGGTGCCAAGGAAAAGTTACAAAGGTGCCAAGGAAAAAGTTACAAAGGTGCCAAGGAAAAAGTTGCAAATGTACCAAGGAAAAGTTACAAAGGTACCAAGGAAAAGTTACAAAGGTGACAAGGAAAAAGTTACAAAGGTACCAAGGAAAAGTTACAAAGGTACCAAGGAAAAGTTACAAAGTTACCAAGGAAAAGTTACAAAGGTGACAAGGAAAAGTTACAAAGGTACCAAGGAAAAGTTACAAAGGTGACAAGGAAAAGTTACAAAGGTACCAAGGAAAAGTTACAAAGGTACCAAAGAAAACGTTACACAGTTGCCAAGGAAAATTTAAATACCAGAGAAAATGTCTCATTTACAAGAGAAAATTCCCCAGGATCTCGTGATCCATGAAACTGTGCCTATCCTTCCCTCCTTTGGATCGAGTTAATTACTCTCATTCAGAGACATGGAGTATATTAGAGCTGGGTGCCTACATGAATGGTAGGGAAAACTAAACACAAATGCATTGTAATGTGATCCTTTATTGACTACGTTTCGCCCACACAGTGGGGTTTATCAAGTCACAAACAGATCTACCTGGGTGAATAATACCTGAGTATTTATAGGGTGGAGAGTCAGGTGGAGTAAGCTGGGTAGGTTTAATTTTCCATTAGACATGTGTACAACATCTGGGTATCTTCATATGCAGACGTTTCGCCCACACAGTGAGCAAAATCAGAAGATGAGGTAATCAGTCCCTCAGCCTTGAAGTAGGGTATAGAGGCTAAGCCCTTGGGTAGCTTTCAAAAGATTCTGGACAGATATATTAGTGAAAAAAGCTGGGTTTGATTAGTACCCGAGGTACTGAGGCAAATTCTTGGGTAACTTTGGGAAAAGACCGGATAGATGCATGGGTGGGAGAGTTTACTTTTAATAAGGACCTGCCTTATATGGGCCAGTAGACCTGCTGCAGTGTTCCTCCATTCTTATGTTCTTATATGGATTATTGTATGCCAAATCTACACAGTGAATCATTTTTCATGAGTTGCTTAAAAACTACGATGCTCTTCATCAACTCAAAGACTGAGGGACTGATTACCTCATCTTTTGTATATTATTCTTCATCTTGTCGGTATTGTATATCATTTATGTACAGAATGAATCATTGTTATGAGTCTAAAAAATCGTGGTATCCTCAGAACCAGTGTAAAAATGTATACTAGTTTACGTAAAACAGTTGTGATTGAAACAGATTTTGAAGAGACAGGTTTTGATGGTATGACAATACACAGACAACCCGCACAGAGGAGAAAGTTTATGTCAACAGGACGTAGGTTTAGATTAAATATGTCAAATATCTGTAGAATTTTCGATAATGAAGAGTGACAGACAGACAGACAGAGACAAAGAGAGAATCCATGGGAATACTTTGGAAAGACATGATGCAGGACTTGATAGTTAACACCGAGACTATCGGATGAGAACTGTCTAATCCCACCTAGACTAAGGACTAGAGAGAGAGAGAGAGAGGGAGAGGGGGGACACTTACCACAAATCTCCACATCGTTGATGGTCTCAGTAACAACGAGAGGCATAATGCTGGTGTACGACACATGGAAGCTGACAACCAGTTCCTCTCCAGCACTGGCAGTGGCAGTAGGGTCGTTCAGGATGTAGTGTGTGTCATCAATCTTGGTGGCTGTCCCCGCGTAGAACTACATACAAGAAATAACTGTGCTCAGCAGGAAATACATTATAAAACTGACGATAAAAATATTATAGCAAAATGGAAATCTACATTGAGGAAACGCTTTCCTTGATACCTGGAGTATACCTGGAGAGGGTTTCGGGGGTCAACGCCCCCGCGGCCCGGTCTGTGACCAGGTCTCATGGTGGATTAGGGCCTGATCAACCAGGCTGTTACTGTTGGCCGCACACAACCCGACGTACGAAACACAGCCCGGCTGGTCAGGTGCTGACTTTAGGTACCTGTCCAGTGCCTGCTTGAAGACAGCCAGGGGTCTACTGGTAATCCCCTCCCAGCATACATAAGAGGGATTACCAATAGGCCCCTGGCTGTTTTCAGGCAGGCACTGGACAAGCACCTATAGTCGGTACCTGACCAGCCGGGCTGTGGCTCGTACGTTGGATTGCGTGCAGCCAGCTGTAACAGCCTGGTTGATCAGGCTCTGATCCACCAGGAGGCCTGGTCACAGACCGGGCCTCGGGGGCGTTGACCCCTGGAACTCTCTCCAGGTAAACTCCAGGTCTCCAGGTAAACTCTGACGCTGCGGGAGCCACTACCGGGTCACTACATGGAGAAGACCCCAGCCAGGGCCCGTCCTGTCAAACCTACATGACCATGAACTTGCCCTGTCCGAGGGCGACGGCTTGACATCACAAGCAGAGGCTCAGCAAGATTTTGGACTCATCCACACACGGAGGCACATGGCTTCTTCCGAAAGGAAGAGGTCACAATGTTCCAAGGACTCAAATTTGGAAACATGGGGAGCAGTTCTAGCGAAGAAGCTGCGAGACCACTCACTGGACTCTTGCAACAGCGAAGTAAGCGAAACCAGTCGGGCCAGTGAAATAGGGATGGATCAAGACACGCTCATCCCAACCCCAGTTATATTAGATGAATAAGGTTGGCAGGTAGCAGAAGCCTCGAAGCCTCAAAGAAGATACAGTGTTACCTTGCCTCAGATCGAGTAAGCTACCCCATCTGCAGGCAACAAATAAAGGTTGACTACACCCCGTATTCTGCTATAATTCACTTCGAGAGGAAATGTGACCTAAGATATCAGTGTTCCCAAATCTGAAAGGGAAATTTATTCTCACTCCCTGAAACACAGAGTTCTATGAGGCACTGCAGAAGGTGAACGACCTGGAATCACCGCTTGTCCTAACAGAACTAAAATCCATAGACCGGGTACGCAACGTACCTACGAGGTGGGTCTTGATCCAACATATAAGACAACTCCCAGTTCAACTAGATCTCGGTTGCTGGGGAAAATACCAGGTTAGGACGTACAACCAGAACCTTTGAGGTGCTTCAGGTGCCAGAGGTTTAACTACCTCAGCGCCCAATGTAGGTTTAAGGAAATATGCGGCATTTGTAGCGGGTCTCACCCGACCAAGGTCTGCTTGAGTAAACCGAAGAGAGGTGATACTACGGAACGTCGGTGTCCGAACTGCGGCAAGAAGTATCAGGCCTGGAACCTGCACTTCCCGGAGAGGCTCTGTCATGTCAAGGCAGCATGGAAAACCGTGATTGTCCAGCCTCCAGCATCAAGTCGAACCCTCACCACTGAGCGGCAGCCTCATCTAGAGGACGCTACAGTAACACTGAAACCAGGGTCACTTCCCCAACCACAGCGATGAAGGAAGCCCAGGAAACATCAACGACGGTGTTGCGTATGTGTGACCTAATTCATGTCTGCATAAATAACTCATTACGATTGTGACCAGATATAAACATGTAAATAGTTCATTATCACTGTAACTTGTTCAGCTATCAGAACTTTGCGGCCCAGTCACTGGACCAATTATGTACCTCTGTAATCTTTTGACTACCACCCACAGGATGGGTATGGGGTACATAATAAAAATATTAAGCTAAAACTCACAGATCAGAGGTATTTCGGACTTACTTCAATGGATTCCACAGGTCGACTGAATGACAGTTCCACAGTAAGGCCATCGATGTCCACAGGCGCCTCAGTAGTCAGGTCGACCACATAGTTGCCCTGCCACTCGCTACTAATTACTACATTGTCGCACTGCGCCTCCGCTCCTGCTCGTTCAACAAAATGGTGTTAGGAAAGGTATCTTTTGACTACCGCCCACAGAATGGGCATGGAGTGCATAATAAAGATGATATAAAGGTAAATATAGCATACTTTAGCTGGCTGGGAATATAAGATCCAATAGCACGTGTTGCGACTTTGCTTAGAAGGAATGTTCCCCCGTCTCACACTTAGTTCACTAACAGTACCGACTAATGGATTTATCGCCTGAGGGGAAACTGCAAATACGATTCAGACAAAAGGTACTCTTACAGTTCTGGGCACAAGTCTTTGACAAGTGTCTGGGCTTATCCAAGCAAGCCTTGAGAGTTCGTATCAGGAAGGTAATGGATGGCAGTGAGTCATGATGCGCGTAGTTGTAAACACATTAACCTTAAGTGACAAAAGTGATAGGAGTGCCTGGATTTGGTCAAAGTTTAGAAGGGTTAAGTGTAGTGGCCTTAAGCCATTGCTGCCAGGATGGTGAGGGACGATGATTGATTTAAAGATCTTATACAAAGTAAACAACTTTACTGAGACAGAAGCTTTAGCTACTGTCTCAACAGTCTTATCTGCTATAGGTGCAAACTCGTAGCATCTCTGTAATATTAAAATACCGGGAACCTCTGCCTAAAATAAGCATACGTTTTGAGAAGTGCTGAGGTAGGGTAGCAGTTTTTAGCTTGCAAATTCCACAATGTAAAAAAATTATTCTTATCAGAAATACAAAAGTATATTTTATATAAAGTATATAAAAGTACCTGAGTGTAGGAGTGTGAGGGCCAGGGCTCCCAGCAGGCAGGTCTTCACCAGGACACCAGTCATGTCTGCTGTAGAGGACACTGGAGGTGAACCACACAACCTCTTATATATCTTCCATCTGATAGCCCACAAAAGACATTTTCTGATGTTTCAGACAAGTGCAGCACAAGTGTTTGAAAGATAATATATCTTTGGCTTGTTCAGGTGGCATGCTTCCCACCCTGTGATAGGAACCAGTTAGCCGAACCTTCATTTTTTATATATACCATACAACACTCACTTCCTAGACGCCTTGCCGCACGGTTGAGCTGCTCCTCTCGGGCTGTGGTTGTCCTCTCCTTCTTGACGTCAAATACTAACGCAAACCATCTTATCCAGACGCATGCGTCACAAGCAATGTGAAAAAATACGTATCTTATACCTCATTCAGATGGCATCTTTCCCACCCGGTGTTATCATAATATATATATATATATATATATATATATATATATATATATATATATATATATATATATATATATATATATATATATATCTTTCAACACACCGGCCGTATCCCACCGAGGCGGGGTGGCCCAAAAGGAAAAACGAAAGTTTCTCCATTTACATTTAATAATATATACAGGAGAAGGGGTTACTAGCCCCTTGCTCCCGGCATTTTAGTTGCCTCTTACAACACGCATGGCTTACGGAGGAAGAATTCTGTTCCACTTCCCCATGGAGATAAGAGGATATAAACAAGAACAAGAACTGGAAACAAAATAGAAGAAAACCCAGAGGGGTGTGTATATATATGCTTGTACATGTATGTGTAGTGTGACCTAAGTGTAAGTAGAAGTATCAAGACGTACCTGAAATCTTGCATGTTTATGAGACAGACAAAAGACACAAGCAATCCTACCATAATGTAAAACAATTACAGGCTTTCGTTTTATATCGAGAGAGAACGAGAGAGAGAGAGAGAGAGAGAGAGAGAGAGAGAGAGAGAGAGAGAGAGAGAGAGAGAGAGGAGAGAGAGAGAGAGAGAGAGAGAGAGAGAGAGAGAGAGAGAGAGAGAGAGAGATAGAAAAGTATTAAGATATTTTTGTTCAAGTAATATTTTTAACTTTGGTAATTTTTCACATTGGTTATAATGAGCTTTATAGTGATTAATGGTATTTCCATAGATAAAATATTTTACACTGGTCATTACTGTGATATGTGTTAACGTCATCGATTGGCAATGCACTCGTCTCACACACTGAGTGTCCCGGGTTCAATCCCAGGCAAGGGTGAAAACATTGGGGACGTGTAGCAGACGTGGGCATAGTCACTGGTAGGCGGGATTCCCCAGTGACTATGGTCCTACCAGTGACTATGCCCGTGTCTGCTACACGTCCCTATCCACTGACGCCTATATAAACGCCGGCCTCCTTTCCTTTGCTTCAGAATCTCTACCACCACGGTGCTACCACCTCCAAGGCTGAGGGACTGATTACCTCATCTTTTGTATATAGTTCTATTGTCTTCTTATTATGTCCTAGAATCTGTATTGATAAAGCCACTGGATGACGAAACGTCTACAATAAAGATATCCAGATGTTGTACATGTGTCTTAACTTTCATCTTGTCGGTATTTTACACCTTTCTTGCACGAGATGTCAGAATGCTTGTCTTAGGTTCACTAGTCACCCATATGCTGCAGCAGTTATTTGGTTGATGTGTACCTCAGATGTGCTTGGTACTGTACTAACCCCAAGATCTTTTTCCTTGAGTGAGGTTTGTAGTCTTTGGCCCACTAGACTGTACTCTGCAGCCTTCCCTGCTCTTCATGACTTTGCACTTGGTGGGGTTGAACTCCAGGAGCCAGTTTCTGGACCAGCCCTGCAGCCTGTCCAGATCCCTTTGAAGTTCTCATATCAGGGAAAACACGCTCAGTTCCACTGGGTACCTGGTGTTTGAGGATTGTTGGTCCAGTGGACAGAGGGACACATACATTGTCCTGTTCTCATAGGCTGGGCATGGTGATGCAGGATCGAATCCTGGCTAGCCATTTCCCACTGAGGCATCATGACCTAAAAAAGGAGAAGCACACTCACCATCACTCGCTCCATCACTGTACTCATGTATTTGTGGTTGCAGGGGTCGAATCACAGCTCCTGGCCCTGTGATAATATATCTAAAATACCCCAGTGCTGCCACCACTGTAATAATATATCTTCTCATAGAATGGTAACGTGGATAGGTAGCAGGATAGCTTGGAGGTTACACAAACACCATTGACTAGAGTATGTTTATTCTTCGAATGGGTTCACAGGCAGTCATGAGGGAGGGTAACCAGGGAGCCAAGTCCTAAAGATAGGTGTTGCTTCAAGGTCAGGTGGTCGCAGAAGATGCCAGGCAGTGTGGGTCTAACTTGGTACCTGCCATCTGGTGGGAACTTTAGAAACTAGGCCTTAGGCCAGCAATTCTCTCTAGTGGGAGGTATGTGAAACAGGTGGGTAGACATACTGTCTACAGGCCCTCCTCTTCCCTGGTGGCTACTAGATCTACTCTCTCCCTGCTCCATGAGCTTTATCGTATCTCTTACCAGAGGAGTGCCAAAATTGCAACATATCTATGCCCCTCCTTCAGAGTGCAGGCACTGTATTCCCACCTCCAGGACTCTAAGTCCAGCTAACCCTTCAGGGAAATGGCATGTCAAGTCATAACCAGATACCTCCACTTGCTCCTATCTAGCATGCTCATGCACGCTTGCTGTAAGTCTAAGCCCCTTGTACACAAAACCTCCTTTACCCCCTCCCTCCAACCTTTCCTAAGACGGCCCCTACCCAGTCTAACTTCCACTACAGATTTATACGCCCTCCATATTCAGTATTAATTAACCCTTTTACTGTCCAGACCCCAAATTTAATACACTCCCAGTGTCCACTTTTTTTAATAAAATAATGGTCTTTTGAAATGAAAGAGAATCTTTTTCTGAAGGTAATGACACCAAAAGTATAAAATTTGATGGAAAACTTGGAGAAGTACTTAGGTGCAAAGTTAGCAGCCTGGATACAATTTACACATCGGAGATTTCAAAACTGTCCTATTTTAAGTCAATTCAATTGCTCTATTTAATCGAATTCTTAATTATTTCACTAGTGCCTTTCACTGTATTGACTGAGCATAAGAAACCACCCATTCAACTATTATAACTGCACTAAAAAGTGCAAATTTAAAAAAATACTTATTTAAAACTAAGGTGCAAAATAAAGAATGTAGATATATTCTTGGCACTAGAACATTTCCTCTGTTCAGGCCTCTCTTATATTACACTTGCCTTCCATTTCTGAATTCTTAATCATAGAGAAATGGAAAATATACTATTTCAGGGATAATAAAGAGTGATTGGTCATGGTTTATGGGGGCTGTAGGGGGCTGTAGGGGGCTTTTTCCCTTCCACAAGAAAATTGGCAAAAAACCTAATATTTCTGCTACTTTGAGCCCAATTTCCAGCTACTTTTGATCCTGAAGCCAACCAAAATCATCTCTATTTCAGTAGTATATCTTCTAGCAAATGATTCCAAGGAATAGCCAATAAAACCATGAAAGCCATCCTAGAAAACACCTCAAAGCTTCTATTTTAAACCAAACACAAATTCAGAGTTTTGCTTTTCCCATCATGCAATGCGTGGGGCAGGACTTTTTCATACTGTGCACACTCACCACACAGACCCATTCTCTCATATCTAGGCCAAAATTTACTGCTCACAGCTTATCCGAGTGAGGTGATCTTGTGACCTAGAACTACGCTACACACTCTAGCCTCAATGATATAGTTCTATGTGATGGCCACTGCAAAAGTTAAAAAAAAAATGCAATAAGTTAAAGAAAAATCTTGTCTTTTAATAGTTTAAATTTATTTTATGAATGTAATAGTATGTAAAATTAAATTCCAAACATATGTTCAGCATTTCTCTTCTGAAAACTTTGCCAGGACATACAAGCAATTTTTATACACATGATTTTTGATACTGTAACCAAACTGAACCCTAATGACATTATTTATTAGATTAATGGAGTAACTCTCCCAAAATATAATACACTTTTTTCAGTTCAAGAGCATGAATATAAGCTTCTCTCTTTTATGTGTGGGTTATTTGTGTATCGTTCCAGTCACGGTATTGTGCCTTTTTTTGTTATTTATGAATATAATCTACAGTCATATTAATTTTATTACAAAAATGAAAGTACTTCAATGATGCAGTGATCAAATTTTCCTATTTACAAAAATATGTGTGATTGTTATGCTTTTATTACAAACTGGTGAGTCTTCAACTTGTGAATGCGTGAGTTATGAACATTCACTCTTTTTTTCTATTTTTTCTGGCCATCTCCCACCAAGGCAGGATGACCTGAAAAAACAAGGAAACACTTTCGCCATCATTCAATCAATGTCTTGTCATAAGTGTGCTGACATCACAGCTCAGATGACCCTCCAACCTGCAACATTCTCACCCTCTTCTTTAGAGTGCATGCACTTCAAAATGTTCATTAGAGATCATATGTAAAAAAATTACTATTTTAAGAGTGATGGTCCTCAGTAACAAATTAATGTTATCCACATTTTCTTTTGTACTATTCTTTCTAATAGGAAGATAGGTTGAAAGTTACAAACAACTCAACTGTAAATTGACAGATTTGGAACACAACTCCTTTATTAGTTGAAGACCCACTGTAATTTTATTTATTCCATCATATAACACAAACTAAGCCTTTTGTGTCTGATAATAGAGGTACATTTGGAGGATGAATATCGTTTCATCTAGGCCTGTTTCTGAGTCGAAGAGTTTGTCCTGCTTTACAACAACCTGCTCCACCAGAGCGCGCTCACTCGGCGTCATCATCTCTTCAACCTGCAAATGTACAATACAATGATCTAAGAACATTTTAAGCACGTGAATAAATGTGAATATAAGAAGGAATACTTACCAGAAGAAATAACACAATTTTTTCTACATAAAATGATTAATTTATGTATATTTATAATAGTTCCTTGTATTCACAGTAATATTTCCCTACTCAGATGGTCATAGGTCTCGGGTTTCCTTCCCAGAAGCAATTTTCATTACCTTGCATGTAATGGGGTGTATATAGTATACGTAGGAGCCATTTTTTTTTTTTAACAACAGCCGTCTCCCACAGAGGCAGGGTGACCCGAAAAGTACAAATGTAAATTTTCTTCTTTTTTACATTTAGTAGTTTATAGAGGAGAAGGGGTTACTAACCCCTTGCCCAGCATTTTAGTTGGCTCTTATAACATGCATGGCTGACAAAGGATAGATTCTTATTCCACTTCCCCATGGAGAAGTAACCATTTATATCATCATTAACTTGAAATCATCCATGAACACAAATATCAAAGAATCTACCCTACCAGCAGGTTATTACCACAGACTAGTGACAGCATGGAGTTTTACACTGGTCACTGGGATACTCCACTAGTTACACTTGTCCAGCTTAACTCTTTATCCCTCATTGCTTCTTGTCATGCAAGGGTTCTGTAATCCATGCTGATACCCTTGCATGTTAACCCAGCCTGCACCTCCAGCACAACCATCTGTGTTTTAATGTACCACAGGCTTTCTTGCAGTCTAGCAAAATACAGTCATCCTATCCTTCTCTTTCCTGACTGAATTCTATCAGTCTGTTACAGGACTGTACAGTATCAACATTATGAGATAAGATTTATTCATTGTCACAAGTATCATGAAAAGTAAGATATCCCAGAGTTCCAGTATGCCAATTAGGATTTATTTTTTTTTAAACATACTGGCCGTCTCTCACCAAGGTGGAGTGACCCAAAAAAGAAACACCTTCACCATCATTCACTCTATCACTGTCTTGCCAGGGGAGCAAAAAACTACAGTTCAGAGGCCTCTCCAAATTGCAAATATCCTCACCCCTTCCAGGACTTGAGTTCTGGAGGTCTGAAAAATATTCTGTGATTTGTGTCTTAATTTTTTGAATAAATGTAAGCTTAAGTTTCAAGGAAATACAGAGAGTATTCTGAAGATATCCTCCCCAAGAAAATGGGGAATAAAATGGTAAATAACACCTTAGCCCTTAAACTGTCCAAAAGTAGATTTATGTTCGCTCGCGTAGCGCTCCGAATGTAGATGTATGTTTTTTTACATGCTTTCTTACGGAGCAAATCAAGGTCGGAGCGCTACGCGCACAAACATAGATCTATGTTTGGACAGTTTAAGGGTTAAGCTTGTTTTTTCCCTACAAGGGTAAAATGCCTGTCCAGATATCTTATATTTTAGAATCTGCTCTTTCTAATGAAGGTTTTAAGAAAATTGGTTATGCTGCTTTTTTGCTATTGGTCTTCAAAAATGGCCTAATATTCACTGTGAGGTCTGTGAGGGGGTTTTTAGGTACCATTAGCTCCAAAAGTTGTATAAACATGTCTACTTACACAACTTTTACTCTTCTAGATCTGCCACAGCAATAATCTGAACACTGCTGATTGTGTGTGCAGAGGGTTGGTGAAATTTTCACCTGCCTCCACTCTGAGGCCACAGCATTACTACTATTGCATATCATGAACTAAAACTTTCCCAAAGTTAGTATGACATATATATCAACCTTCACATAAAATTTTATCAAAACTGGAGATGGTCAGGTGAGGACCCCAGGTCCACTTGACATGGAATGACCCCTATGCCTGTAATTTTCTCCATTGTTTGAATTTGGTACTTGGTCTTTTCTGTCACACAACGCCTCATGTACAGTACGACCCCCACATCCATGGGTTTTGTATCTGCAGTTTGTCATGGCCTGAAAATAACCCTTAATTTTGCTTAATAATTGCCTCAAAGTGCAAAAGTAGTGATGGAAGTTCTTCAAAACCTAATAAAAATTGTGAAGTGCTTCCCATCAGTGAATAAGTGATAATTCTCCATTTATTGTGTCTAATTTATCAATTAAACTTGTTAATAGGTATGTATAGGACTTATATATAGGGTTCACTACTATCCACAGCAGGTCCTTGGAACGTATCCCCGCGGATACGGGGGTCCTACTGAATCTTTAAAAATCTACATTTCTCGTGGGAATTTAATGTCCACACCAGCAGTATGGAGGGATATGTTGTGTATCTTTATACGTATATGCTTCTAAACTGTTGTATTCTGAGCACCTCTGCAAAAGCAGTGATAATGTGTGAGTGTGGTGAAAGTGTTGAATGATGATGAAAGTATTTTCTTTTTGGGGATTTTCTTTCTTTTTTTGGGTCACCCTGCCTCGGTGGGAGACGACCGACTTGTTAAAAAAAACAAAAAAAACAACAAGTATTTAAAAACAAAACATTCTCACCTCCTGAATCTGTTCCTCAGTACCTCCCGACTGCTTGAGATTCTCCACAATCGAGTCCACTCTGGTGCGTTTATCCAACAAGCGACGGTTATCGCTAACAATTGTCTCTCTCTGCACCATTAGGTTATACATGCCTTTATAACACCACTCAAGAACCATGCGCACAACCTGCAAGAAAATTAAGCAAAACAATTTCTGGTTCATGATTTTTTTTCAACGTAGCAGCTGTCTCCCACCCAGGTAGGGTGGCCTAAAAAGAAAAACTTTTGCTTCTTCTTTTTCAAGTCACCCTGCCTCAGCATGTCAAAAAAAAAATACATGGGATAAATATTCTACAGTTAGTGTGTACAGTGGACCCCCAGTTAACGATATTTTTTCATTCCAGAAGTATGTTCAGGTGCCAGTACTGACCGAATTTGTTCCCATAAGGAATATTGTGAAGTAGATTAGTCCATTTCAGACCCCCAAACATACACGTACAAATGCACTTACATAAATACACTTACATAATTGGTCACATTGGGAGGTGATCGTTAAGCGGGGGTCCACTGTATTATGATATCTACGAGGAAGCACTAAAATCATGAAAGCGTGGCGAATGAGAGACAACAGGGTTCAGTCTAAGGAAGTGCAGAACAGGTCCATTTCCTAGAATTAAGAACCCCTTACTGGCATTAAGATGCCTCCTCGAGGGGAATTAATTATAATTTCCTCATGACATACAACTATACAAACAGGAACTCCTCAAGGAAAGTTCCTTGATGCTGATGAGGGACTCTTGATCCAAGTAATAAGAACCATCAACCATAAATTCACCCCACTGGCAAACAAATACAGTAAACCCTAGATATGACAAATCTTAGTATAAAAGACTTAAAATTATAGGCAAAAATTCACTGGTTAAGATGTACTATAAACTTCCTTATTTCCAATATTTATTGCAGTACATGTATATCAATAAACTGTGTACAGTACTATATGAGGTGCATTAGTGTTTAAGCAGTTTTTTGCTACTTTATAAACATTATTGATTTAAGACAGTATTCTCCCCTATTAGTCCATTATACTGACTTGGTCTATTTTGATGTTCAAGATAATTACTGAAGACTATTAAGTGAATAAATTTCTTCAGTATACCATTTATTAAGTTTATTGCTTAGATTTACTTGTCAAGTCTATCTGTCAACCGGAGAAATCTATTTAAAAGTTGTTTACTTACTGAACTCATATCAACATGAAAGAGATAAATAATCTTGTTTGCAGGTGATGGTGTTAAGGTTTTCCGCAGCTCATGTATGCGCAGGAAGTTGTCGTGAAGCAGACGGTATGAGAGCAGATTCGCATCCTTTTTCCCAATCATGCTGACTTCTCCAATCATGTCTTGTTCCATCATTTGATTTTTGTGTATTAACCTGCAAAACACATGTTGTCATCATCCTTAATTTTCTCAATGCCAGAATCCAAGTGGAGTTACATGCTGAATTTACATAATGAACAGAAAATGGATGGGACTTAATCTGAGGCCCTGGCATGTAGCAAGTCCTGGCATGTAGCAAGCCAGGACTCTTTATTCACTAGCATACATTCATAACAAATTAACTTTATTAAACTAAAAGAGTACGACAGCCTACTGTAGCCATTTGCTAAGAGTGTTGCATCATGAAACACTGCTTATATTAACAGGGAAGTGTTGCTGTGCTAGCGTGGAAAGTTTTTGTTTTTTGCATATAGTCTTTATATACAAATGTTTATTTTCATTTACCCTTTCTCGATGATCAAACATTTGGTTCTGTGTCTACAATGGCCACACATTTAGCTTTTTTTTTTTCATTTATTTATGAGAGTGCTTGGCCCCCAAGCTAGGTTTTGTTTTAGTATTTTCAATAAGTCAACTTTTTACCCCCAGACAACTGTTTATCCCAAGGTCACACAACTTTGTAACACAAGTCATGATAATGTAAAAAAGTCTCAGAAGGAAAAATTGTCAAGATTAAAGCCTGTTCTATAACATGTTTGTCTTCAGCTCTCATGCTGTTACTTGTGCAAGACAGGTATACAATACTGACAAGATGAAAGTTAAGACACTTGTGCAACATCTGGTTATCTTTATTGTAGACGTTTTGCCATCCAGTGGCTTTATCAATACAGATTATTTGGACATAATAAGAAAATTGAAGAACTATATACAAAAGATGAGGTAATTAGTCCCTCAGCCTTGGAGGTGGAGTTTAGAGCACCGTGGTTGTAGAGATTCTGAAGCAGAGGCAAGGAGACTGGTGCTTATATAAGCGTCAGTGAGTAGGGACGTGTAGCAGACGAGGGCATAGTCACTGGTAGGCGGGATTCCCCAGTGGAAGTAGGTCCTTCCCAAAATGATGGGTTAGTTGTAGTAGCTGTGAAGAAGGTCTTGTAGATGTCCTCTGAACCAAGATAAAGCCACTGGATGGCGAAACGTCTACAATAAAGATTACCAGATGTTGCACAAGTGCCTTAACTTTCATGCTGTTATTTGTATACAGAGAGCCTTTTTCTTCTTTCCCTGGCCTCTCCCATTCAATCACATTAATTCCCTACCCTCCCCATAGCTATATGTCTCCCTCTTCCAACTGTTCTTTCACAGCCTCCTGACAATCTCTCTCTCTTCCCTTACCTTCCTCCTCCCTACCTCAGTCCATTCCTTTACCCATTCATTCCTTATCCTTCCTGATGCTTAGGGATGATGCACTTTTTCTATCGCATTTACAAAAAATAGCACTATACTCTGTTAATGAATGCATGGCAGCTGCTGCTGACAGACGAGAGAACAAGTGCACATGAACATGCCTTTTGTTGTTCTTTAAAACACTGGACATTTACCACCAAAGAAGGATGGCTTGAAGAAAACACATTCACCAGTGTTCATTCAACAGATGTCCTGCCAGCAGTGTGCAGATAAAACAAACAACATTCCAACCCAGAGTGCAGGAACTGTACTTCTCACTTCCAGAACTGTAACATCCCCACCCATCCTTCAGAGTGCAGACAAAGTACTTCCCACCTCCAGAACTGTAACATCCCCACCCATCCGTCAGAGTGAAGGCACTGTACATCCCACCTCCAGAACTGTAACATCCCCACCCATCCTTCAGAGTGAAGGCACTGCACATCCCACCTCCAGAACTAACATCCCCACCCATCCTTCAGAGTGAAGGCACTGTCCATCCCACCTCCAGAACTGTAACATCCCCACCCATCCCCTCTGGTGAAGGCACTGTACATCCCACCTCAAGAACTGTAACATCCCCACCCATCCTTCAGAGGGAAGGCACTGTACATCCCACCTACAGAACTGTAACATCCCACCCATCCTTCAGAGTGAAGGCACTGTACTTCCCACCTCCAGAACTTAAGCACAAACATGCCTTCCTTGCAATACAAACCTGAAAATGCGAGCAGCTTTGGAGCCAAATCTCTCTTGCACAATGTTATAAATCAGTATGTAGGTGAGAGACTGGAATGCATTGGACATATTAAGTCTGTACTGTCCACCACCAGCATCACCAACTCTTTGCACACAGTCTCCACTCTGCTCCTCTGAAAAAAAAAATACTCATGATATCCTACAGATGGAATTATGTTCCTGAAATCTGTCTAATTATATAATTTTTTAAAATGGACTTAGGAAAATATGGGAAAATTAGACTATGTTACTCAAAGTTTTAGAAATGCCAACTAATATTTTTTAAAGCTTAGTAATTCATTAAGACATAAGGATATTAAAGTTTTCTACTTCTTGGTACTTTCAAATACTACTTGTACGAATGCCAACTGAAGACTATGGAAATGGGATTTTCAATGCCATACTAAACTTTTTATATAAAACTCAGCAATGAACACAAATTTTGTGCTGATAATGCAGAGTTTAATGAGTTCAGTGACTGCATACACAATGATAACCTTTTATCAAGGAATTGATATTTATGTGTACCTCTACCTAGATAAACTTACACACTGTGCTGGCACGCAGGTACACATTAAAATCATTAAGTCTTATTAGTCTTGAAGATGCCATATTAATAATAATAGTAATAGTAAGGTGCCATATTAATAATAATAGTAATAGTAAGGTGCCATAATAATAATTATATGATAATAAGATGCCATAATAATAATAATGATAATAATACAGACATTTTGATTAATCCATCTAATTTTTTTTCAGAATTATATAATAAATATGCTATGTAACATATAAACGTGATAAATACACACATAGTAGAATAAATTAACATAAATATGAAATGTTTTTCCAGTCGTCTTGTTGGAGTGTCGGAAAGAATAACATTTTCTCTAGTTCAACACCAAAGAAAATGTATACAAAATAGTATTACTGGGGGTAACTGTAGAAAATTATTCCTTTCATATGCCATCACTCAGAGTGTTATTCCTTCTATAAATGGTGTGTTACATGAGAATGGTAGTGTTGCTCTTTATTTATTCTATTTTGCCAATGTGGAGACAACTTGTACACAATGTAAGGTGTTTTTATTATGATATAAACTTCACAGACATGGAAATGAGCATGTATCAACCATACCCATATGCGTTTGTCTGTTTGTTTACATACTCTGTGGCTCTGTCTCCTCTCATTTACTCGTTCCCTCTTGTTTACTCATTTTTACATTGTTTACTCGCCTCTCACCCTACATTAAGACTATAAATGTTTTAAGGTAAGTAATGAGTGTACAGTGTACGCATTTTATCCCTCTAGGGCATTTTAAATGTCGTAGTACATTACGTGTGGGTAGGTTGGCCAGGAGAGCTACCATACCTCCCACACCTGACTTTTTACAATAAATACTACTCACCTCTCACCCTACATTAAGACGACAAATATTTTGAGGTAATTAATGAGTGTACTGTGTGTGTATTTTTACTTTTTATTGTTTTTTAATGCCTAGTTCTTTTGCTAACTTAATATATGTTAATGTAAACTTGCTATCTGGCATTTAAATGCATTTATAAGTGAAAGAAATGGAGTTCAGCTTTCCAGGAATGTCTGCTTTCCGGCAGTAGCCTGGAACCTAACCTGCCATATAAGTGGGACCCTACTGTATTTGAACCTGTGGTCTATCATGTGATAATCATACTCTACCAATGGATTGTGAAGGTTACAACATGACTACCAAATCAAACCCTATGTGTTGCATCAATATCTGTTTTATTATAGCTAATTTCAAAATTGTGTAATACAGATTTTCTAAAGCCCAATGCTAAGGTATAATTATTTTTTCTTGAAAAAATAAGCCTCGTCATCAACAATGATTAATACCAAACTAAGCCATAATACATTTGCTAAAAGAAAGTCATGTTAATCAGCTTGTTCATTAGATCCATACCATTCTTTACATTATAATAAATAAGTACCTACAACTGAACTCATCTAGGTAGTAGGTTACTAGACAGCAACCACCCAGGGAGGTACTACCGTCCTGCCAAGTGAGTGTAAAACGAAAGGCTGTAATTGTAATGTTTTACATGATGGTAGGATTGCTGGTGTACATTTTTCTGTCTCATAAACATGCAAGATTTCAGGTACGTCTTGCTACTTCTACTTACACTTAGGTCACACTACACATACATGTACAAGCATATATATATACACACCCCTCTGGGTTTTCTGCTATTTTCTTTCAAGTTCTTGTTCTTGTTTATTTCCTCTTATTTCCATGGGGGAGTGGAATAGAATTCTTCCTCCGTAAGCTATGTGTGTTGTAAGAGGCGACTAAAATGCCGGGGACAAGGGGCTAGTAACCCCTTCCCTTGTATAAATTACTAAATTTAAAAAGATAAATTTTCGTTTTTCTTTTTGGGCCACCCTACCTCAGTGGGATACAGCTGGTTTGTTGAAAGAAGAAGAAGAACTGAACACATTATATTTATGAACTTCTATGATAAACCATGGAATGGGTGGGGTTTGAACCCATGGCAAACGACTCCTAAAACTTGCCATCAGTTCAAACCTCACTCGTTCTGTGGCTTTTAACTGTATTATTATGATTTTGTGTTCTTTCATAAATCATACTTTGCATCAGTCATAAGTCATCACTACACGTAAAGCCATTCAAACCAGTGAATGAACAAGGGGCTCCTGATGGGCCAATATCTATCCTGAAAAACTCATCGTATTTTCTGGCATATAAGACACATAACAGAAGTACAGTGGTCCCTCGATAATCGTCGGGCTCGATAGTCATCCTTTTCGGAAAGTGTCGCGTTATTTTCATCCAAACATTGGCTCGTAAATTGTCAGTTGACTCGCTAATCGTCGTTCGTCCTGGACACGTACTCACGGCTCTGAGCCGCCTCGGCATCCCTTCCATGGCAAAGAAAAAGGAAATCAAGGAAGCTGTTGTTGCTTGGAGAAAATTGTGGCCAGATTGTGTCCACAAGAGGGATTTTGAAGGGTTTGTGGCTGACCCTGATGAGCCTATGTCAGTTGTGAAATCTATTGTGGCATTGGGGAGTTCCATGGGGTTGGATGTGAGTTTGGAGGATGTGGAAAGAGTTGGTGGAGGACCACAACAAAGAGCTAACCACTGAGGAACTGCAAGAGCTTCAGCAGAAACAGCAACAGATCGCAGCTCAGAATATTGCTGCAGAGGAGGAGGAAGAGAGATGGAAGAAGGTGCCTTCTTCAGAAATTAAGGAGATTTTTGAAATGTGGGGTAGGATGGAAAGATTTATGGAGAAACATCACCCTGAGAAGGATGTTGCAAGCCATATTGGCAACTTGTACAGTGACAGAATCTTGGCCCATTTTAGGGAAGTTTTAAAGAGATGCCAGAAACAGAGCTCTCTGGACACTTTTTTTGCAAGACAGGACTCCAGTGACTCTCAAGCTGGTCCAAGTGGCATTAAGAAACAGAGAAGAGAAGTATGTATGTAACCCCAGAAAAGGACTTGGTACCTGAGGTGTTGATGGAAGGGGATTTCCCTTCCAAACAGTAACTAATCCAATCTCTCTCCTCCTCCAGTCTTCCATACACTAAGAAGAATCACCAATAAAGGTAAGTGTTATACTGTTAATGTTTCATTCATCATGTCCCACTGTATTGTTTATGTACTACAACTATATTTCATGTAAAAAAATTTTTTGTTTTAATACTTTTGGGAAGCAGGAACGTATTAATTGTATTTACATTATTTCTTATGGGGAAAATTGATTCAGAAATTGTCTATTTCGATAATCGTCGCACTTCCAGGAACGGATTAATGACAATAAACGAGGGACCACTGTATCATAACGGTAAATCAGTAATCATATTCAAGGGTTAATTACACCTTATTTTACGCTAAAGCGTAACCCTGACCTTGAGCCTATTAGACTCGGTGATTTTCCAAGACTTTTTGTGAGAAAAAAGTGTGCCTTATATATTGGAAAATACGGTAATATCTTGTTTTTTATGCCCATGCATGTGTTAAAATAATATTTACAATTTCAGAGCATAAAAAAATAAAAAGCTACAATAATGTAGCTGAAACAGTTCACCAAAAACCCCAAAATGGAAAAGACCTCTATTTAGTGGATTTCAGAAATGAGGAAGAAAATTTGCTGGCTCATTTGATTCATAAACTTATGCAGTTCCTCTCCTAATTATGGGTTTTTGGTGAAATTCAGATCATAACAATAAAACTTTTTTTTTCAACACATCAGCCATCTCCCACCAAGGCAGGGTGACCTAAAATGAAAACCAAAGGTTTTTCTTATTACATGTAGTAATTTATACAGGAGAGGAAGCAACTAGCCCCTTGCTAAAACAAAACTATATCTCACCTAATATCTTGAGATACTGATCTAGATACTTCAGGTCTTTCAGCTGATCCCTGATATCTGCTGCTGTGACAACATTCATGACGGGAGCCCAGGGGTCTGATACCTTGTATGAACACTTCAGCATGGCACCAAAACATTCTCCTGCTAGGGGATCAATTCGTCGGACAATGCTGTTGCAAATTTCACTGTCTCTGCAAAAGTTATAAACTATTATGATATAATTTGGCATACTTCATACATATATAGCCATTCAGCTAGCTAAACATCCAGATTGTTCAGCCTAGTTGAATGGCTATACTCCTGCCTCTGGCCACAGGCATCTGGTGATCAATTCTCAAGTGAATATTCTAGAAAAAATGATAAAAATGACAGAATGTTCATATTACACCAGAGGAAAAAAGTCTTCAAATGACAGTACATCAATGCACACTGATGATAATGGAGGTCCAAAAAAAAAAATTGCAATAGTGTTATTCTATATGACTCAATATGAAAATACAGCAGAGACAATGATTAATTTGTGAAAAAATACTTAAGTTTAATTATTTGGCAAAAAGTTAGTGTATAACAGTGAAAACAAACAAGCTGAAGAATGAGGCACTTCTACAACATTTTGGAAGCTTTACTGAGGAAACATTTTGCCAGCCAGTGGCTTCTTCAGTCCAACACAAGAAAAACAATAAAAGATGAGAAGGAGAATAAGGTAATCAGTCCCTCAGCCTGGAGCAGATGAGTTCAGTCCAAGATTCCCCAATGTTGCACAAGTGTCTGATTCTTCAAAACAAATTTTACATGGTATGTTGAGCTAATGGTGAATACAGCAGTAAACTCTTAATTTAATGGACCACTATTTAATAGATTTTGGAAGAATGAAACAAAATTTGCTGGTTCAACTGATTCAGAAAGAATGGAATTCATCAGTTACAAAAAGTCTCTATTATTGCTGCAATGACAGCAAAACAATGTCATCTCTGACTATTACCAACCACTGCTCCTCCTCCCCATTAGTCCACTAAACTGAAGATTTACTGTATGCAGTATTTTTAATAAGTCAGCTCTCTTATAAAGTTACTCTATTTACACTACACATACATTCTCTCACATAGGAGAATGAAACTCAAGTCAATATTTTGGTCTGACTTGGACTATTTAGTTACAATCACGGTATTGTGCCTTTTTATTCTCCTCTATTTAATGCAATTTTTCATAAATGCGACTGAAAAATTACATCAAAATTTAATAGTACATATTATGAAAACCTCTCCATGCACTACTAAATTTTTGTTGCCCTTTTTCAATTGCATTCATGAAACACTGTATTATACAGAAAGGTTTTATAAGACAGCCGACTGTAACTCACAAAGTTTGCTCTGCCTGAGTTTTTGCAAACAAATTTTATTTCTTTGCAAAGGTTACAACGTGTGATTACATTTAACCCTTTCACTGTCGAGATCCCTGATTCTAAACACTTGTTCTGGGTCGAAAAATATTCAATAAAAAAAATTATTTTTTCTTATGAAATGATAGAGAATCTTTTCCCGATGGTAATGACACCTAAAAAAAAAAAAAAAGAAATTTGATGGAAAACTTACGGAATTACGCTCTCACGAATTTAGCAGTCTCGGCGACATTCACGCATCGCTGATTCTGTCCACTTTGAGCCCCATTTTTAGCCAATTCCATTGTTCCAGTCGACCAAACTCATAGCTATTTCGCTAGAACTCCATTTTTTTCTATCAACTGAGTACAATAAACTGCCCATTTACTGATTTCAACTACCCAATAAAGTGATCAAAAATTGGTAATTTGGCCAATTTCATACACAATTTAAATAAGGCCAATTTCAAAATAGGGGCCAGAATAAACAATGCAGACATTCCTAGCACTAATATAACATTTTCTCTGTTCATCAGTTACGTCTCCAGGCCCCTCTCATATTACGCTTGCCTTCCATTTTGAATTTTTATTCACACAAAAAATGGAAAATTTACTGTTATGCAGACTTTGCATTACTGTAAAAATGGTATAAATAATATCAGCATATTTGTGAAAGCATATTAGACCCACCATTTGATGTGTATTAGACGTGTGGCATGATTTGTTTACTCTTGAACATGGGCAAAAATTGAACATTTCTGCTACTTTGAGCTCAATTTCAAGGTACTTTTAGTCCGAAAACCATTCAAAAATCATCTTTATTTCTGTAATGTATCTTCCATTCTATCAAATGAGACAAAGAAAACGAGAATACATTCATAAATACGAAAATGCACCGCAAAGTCGGTGTTTTAAACCAAACACACAGTCTTTTTTTTTTTCTCATGCACTACATGCTGCAGGATTTTTTTTATACTGCACACACTGAGCACAGACTCATTCTCTCACATGTAGGCCTACCAGCTCTCTCCCGCCAGATCTGAAGGCACTAGAATTTTGGTGTAGTATTACAGGACCGACACTGGCTCTCAAGCCATGATACTATGGGAACGACAATGAAAGGGTTAATAGTGTTAAGTACAAAGAAAGATACTAACATGCCAGGGCATTCTTTGAAGTGAAGAATATGAAAATGTAACCCAAATTATCCAAGAAATTAAAAAATATTATGCATGGATATACTTTTTACCAACCTGAATTCTATGTGGAATCTATCATAATTGAGCCTCCAGAGCACATTAGCATCTGGGTGGATGAACGTTGGGGCGGTAGTTTCTGTACGCCGGTGTTGTATCTCCTGCTGCAGGGCCTTCAGATCAAGTAACTCTGGAGGTAAACTGTTAACCAAGGATGAAAAGACTAATATGGTGCAGTATTTCAGTTCACTGTTCACATACTAAACAAGCTATTGTATAAATATAGGAAATTCTCAACTGTATAACATTCATAATACACGAAGTCTTCAATGTACAAACATAGGGACCTTCTCTATTGTGTATTATAACAATATAATAATATACATAATACAGATGATTCTCAACATGCTCATAAGTTGAGACTTACTGTAAACAGAACTGTGGCCCCAGCAGTAAAGCGCTGACCTGTTAATCTCGGGACCATAGTTCAAACCTCCCGTCGACTTTTCTGTTTACTCACTGACAGACTTTCATTATGACTTAAATTGAGTTCAATCACTGACTTACCAGAAACATAATGACCTCATAATTTGGATGAACCACTAAAGTGCAACTTCTCCACCTTACAATAGTACCCCTGTATCCATAGGGTTTACACCTCAAGACCTACTGTGGATACCCGAAACAGTGGATAGCAAACTCTATATAAATGTAATTTTTTGTTTACCTACTTATATACCTATGATAAAGTTTGTTAAATTATGCACAGTAAGTGGAGAATTAGCACTTTTTCACTGTTGGGAAGCACTTCACAGCTTCTCTTAATAATGACCTCAAAGCACTACTTTTGTGCTTTGGGGCCATTATTAAGCAAAATTAAGGGATATTTTTGGGCCATGGTAAACTGTGGATAACTGAAACTGCAGAAACTGAATCCACAGATATGGGGGCTCTACTGTATATCCATTTTAATTAGGGGAAAAGTGCTAGACCCACAGGAGTCAAATAGCACCAAGGGAATGGAAAGCATTCATATTTGATCCAAGGAAGGGAAGGATGTCCAATTCCTTAAATCAAGACCCTCAAGAGCATCAGGGCACCTCCCTTGAGTGGACTTACCTATACAGATCCTCCTCTTTGATAGTGAGAACAGGTACTGGTTTAGTAGAGTCTTGAGGTGAACTGCACCGCTGAATAAACTCATTCTCAATGAGTTTTAAGAGATGGTTCCTAATTGTAATATGACGTTGCTCATAGTTGCTCCCACTGCTAGCAGAAGTGTCTGAAATATTTTAAGAAAAAAGAAAACTGTCCTAAGTTGGGCTCAGAAAAATCACTGTGAAAATACATGTGCTAAATACTGTTCGGAATCTGCAAAAGAATTTTAAACAGTTATTTATTCATGATAATTTACTGTATTTTCTGGCACATAAAGTGCAAAATTTTCCCACAAAAGTCTTGGAAAAGCAGCCTGCATCTTATATGCTCAAGATCAGAGTCAAGAGTAGACCTTGTATACCTGGAGTATACCTGGAGAGGGTTTCGGGGGTCAATGCCTCCATGGCCCAGTCTGTGACCAGGTCTCGTGGTGGATCAGGGCCTGATCAACTAGGCTGTTAGTGTTGGCCACACGCAACCCAACGTACGAACCACAGCCTGGCTGGTCAGATACTGACTCCAGGTATCTGTCCTGCACCTTCTTGAAGATAGCCAGGGGTCTATTGGTAATCCCCCTTATGTATGTTGGGAAGCAGTTGAATAGTCTTGGGCCCCTGACACTTATTGCATTGTCTCTTATAGTGCTAGTGGCACCCCTGCTTTTCATTGGGGAAATGTTGCATCATCTGCTGAGTCTTTTGCTTTCATAGGGAGTGATTTTCGTTTGCAAGTTTGGTACTAATCCCTCTAGGATTTTCCAAGTGTATATAATCATGTATCTCTCCTGCCTGCATTCAAGGGAGTACAGGTTGAGGAACTTCAAGCGTTCCCAGTAATTTATGTGTTTTATCGCAGTTATGTGTGCCGTGAAGGTTCTCTGTACATTTTCTAGGTCAGCAATTTCACCCAGTGGCGTTGTAAGGAGGGGGCGGGAGGGCCGCCCTGGGTGACACTATCTAGAGGGTGACACTATAGAGCCTCTACAGAAGATGACACTAATGCCCAAAACAGTGCTGCACCAACATAAGAAAAGATCCTATTACTATATGATTACAGAGTACAAATAGGCCTATATAGGGAAAATCATTGATTTTGATGATGTGATAGATAATTTTGCAGGATTGAAGGCAAGGAAATGTAAGATCAGATTCACTAAGATGTTACCTGTACTCAAAATCAAATCAGAACTAGTGTTTCTCTGACATTGCAATGTTTTTCTCTATTTTTCAAGTTTTTTGTTTTGGCATTGTTGAAGATGAATAAATGTAGGATCTGTTGGCTGTACTCAAAGTGGAATTTGAGTTTATGTTTCCTCAATATTACTACGATTATTTATTTTATCATTAATAAAGTTGAGAAGTATTCTCCTGTTCAGTTTATGGCCCTTAAACATTCTCATTGCTAAATATTAGTTACTGGTCACTCAGTACTGACGTAAATGGAGTTTACTCCCCCATCCCCCCACCCTTGGATTTCATAGGGGTGACACCAAAGATGCCACCCCAGGTGACACCAACAATAGCGATACCACTGATTTCATCTGCATTGAAAGGTGCTGTTAGTGTGCAGCAATATTCCAGCCTAGATAGAACAAGTGACCTGAAGAGTGTCATCATGGGCTTGGCATCCCTAGTTTTGAAGGTTCTCATTATCCATCCTGTCATTTTTCTAGCAGATGCAATTGATACACTGTTATGGTCTTTGAAGGTGACATCCTTTGACATGATCACACCCATGTCTTTTACATTAGTTTTTTGCTCTATTGTGTGGCTGGATTTTGTTTTATACTTCGATATAGTTTTAATTTCTTCACGTTTTCCATATCGGAGCAATTGAAATTTCCCATTGTTGAACTTCATGTTTTCTGCGGCTCATTTAAAGATTTGGTTGATGTCCGCCTGGAGTCTTGCAGTGTCTTCAATGGAGGACACTGTCATGCAAATTCGGGTGTCATCCGCAAAGGAAGACACATTGCTGTGGTTAACATCCCTGTCTATGACAGATATGAGGATGAGGAACAGGATGGGAGCGAGTACTGTGTCTTGTGAAACAGAGCTTTTCACCGTAGCTGCCTCAGATATTACTCTGCTTACTACTGCTCTTTGTGTTCTATTTGTTAGGAAATTATAGATCCATCTACCAACTTTTCCAGTTACATGTATTCCGTTATCAAGCATTTTGTGCACTATTACACCATGGTCACACTTGTCAAAGGCCTTTGCAAAGTCTGTGTATACTACATCTGCATTTTGTCTGTCTTCTAGAGCATCCAGGACCTTGTCATACTAGTCCAGTAGTTGGGACAGACAGGATCGACCTGCTCTAAACCCATGTTACCCTGGGTTGTGTAACTGATAGGTGGCGATCTCGCTTCTTAGAACCCTTTCAAAGATTTTTATGATATGAGATGTTAGCGCTATCGGTCTGTAGTTTTTTTGCTATTGCTTTATTGCCCCCTTTGTGGAGTGGGGCCATGTTTGTTGTTTTTAGCAGCTGTGGGACGACCCATGTTACGCTTCAGCAGCTGTTTACTAACAATATGTTACAACTGCTTGCAAATATCATCTTATATTCTCGTGCACTTTATATGCGGGAAAATATGGTAGGTATTGCATGAACAAGGAAGGTGGAGCACTGCAGCAGGCCTACTGCTACTGGCCCATGCTAGGCAGATCTTTCTCATATTTATGGCTACAGCAGCAGAGCTTTGCTTTTGGTGTCCCACCTTAAAGAAATTGTTCAGTGTATATTTTTTTATTAAATTCTTAATGGGTGAAGCACTTACTACATCCTCTTGTAATCAATTCTATTGATCTCCCACACTGTGAAGAAAAATTTCCTAGTATCCTAGTAGGTGGCTTTAAAGGGTTTATCTTTTCCATGAATAACAGGATGAGCCTAATTTTTTATTACATGTGACTCACAGATGCATTTTGTTATATTTATGCGGAAGAGTAACACACGATTGCAAACAAATCATGGAATGGATGGGATTTGAACCCAGTGCTTACACACTGGCCTAGAGTTTTATGATTCACCATGGGTTCAAACCCCACACGTTCCATGGTTTATGGGAAAGAACTAAACACATTAGGCATACAGTAGTTAGGGAATGAGTGGTAATCAGATTTGATCCAAGGACTCTTCAGTAACATTAGGCACATTTCCTCCTAAATGGATAAATCAAGAATGAAAAAATAGTGAAGGATTTTGATAATATATCAAAGGGGGTGCCTTAATGTCAGTAAAGGGCTCTTACCCAAGAAATTGTAGCTCTTTTTCCCCTTTAGTAGATAGAATTTGATTACCTCCCATTTCCCAGGTGCATATGACCCTTATGCATTTTGCCATTAATAATATTAATGGTTATGCTAAATACTGCTGTAATTTACAAATCAGCCATAGACCATGGCCATTTACAAATGCACCAAATTTTGTAAATTCCTAGAAAGTCTTAATTTTGCAACAAGTAGAGTAAATCCTCAGTATAATGCCTAAAATAAGGGGCAAGTCACTAGCTAAATCGACCTTTAACTCCTTTATTTCCAATATTTACTGCAATACAACAATAAATTGCATTTCACTGCCCAAAATGCACAGCATGCTAGTGGATTTTTTTTGTTCCTAACAATATTTTATCACATGTAAACTACATTATCTGTGACCTGCATAAAAGACAAAAATTTTAATTTGAATTTACTTAGTTTTTTTTTGTTATTTAATGTTATTTTGATTTAACGAACACTGGAACAATTCCTCCTGGTACAGCATATCCAGGAATTACTGTACAGGTGCTCCTCTAGAACAAATTAAGTTCATGACCTGAGGTACCACTGTAACTACTGTCACTGAATAAGTAAATAAACAAATAATTACTGAAACTACATACCAGTACTGAAAAGTAAATAAATACAAGTTACAGACGTGCCACCTTCATGCTGAGTAATTATCTCAAGTTTCACCTGCAAAGTAATTGCTTTTGCACCATCGTAAAGCTGAAATACATATTGTAATCAAGGAATTTACTGTGCATGTTAATTTTAAAGCAGTTAGAATGGCTCTTTCTGAGTTTACCGTTATCTGAAGCTTCCAGTAATTTAACACATGATGTAATGATAATGTGTGAGGCAGTGGCTTGTCCTTCCTTCAGTAAAACATCCACTACCATTTCTTCCTCTTCTCCAAACTTCTCACGGACCAGAAAAACATATCTGTAAAAATTGTTAGTTACAACGAATTAAAAAACTGATATGGCATTTTGTATTTGTTACATTCAGTATTTAATAATCTGGAACATGCCAATTTTTCATTTAAAATATCTGTGTAAGGTTAAAAATACAATGCTGCATATTTTGTAGGTAAAAATTACATGCATTGTATACCTAACCTATAGACCTGATCTACTTCCACTTGTGGATTTCTCCACTGGTGACTCTGCCTACCACTGCTCCACCTCGTCTGTCTACAGTATACAAGCCCTATATCCACAAATATACTGCACTATTATCAAGATTGATGGATTGAACACATTGACTCCAGGCTGAGGGACTGATTACCATAAACATACCTCATCTTCCACCATTTCTCTGCACTGAACTGAAGAAGCCACTAGCTGGCAAAATGTTTAAAACAATAAAGACACACAAGTCTTGCACAAGTGTCTTATTGATCAACATTATATACTGTACTAAGTTTCTTTATTATGAAGAAAAGTGTTCAAAAGGCTTCTACAGCCACAGAAAGCATAACTTCTTGAAGCAAAATAGAACGTATTTCTCTGAAATCTGAATATCATGCCTGAAAGATAATTCCTTTGAGTAAGTTCAGCAATAGTGAAGTACAGGAGGGCCCTGCTTATTTGGCACCCTCTTTTCGATGTTTTATATTTTTGCTGGCTTGCAAATGAGCCATTGTTCATTATATTTGATGGTTTCTGTATAACAGTTGCGTAAGGGAAGAGCAACCGGCCCCATATTTTAAGGTAAGTATTGTATGTACTATGTATTTATTTTACTTTTATGTTTTTTTATGCCTAGCTGTACTGAGCACTTAATATACGACGGTGTAAACACATTATCAGGCATTTTATATGCATTCAATAATGAAAAAATGCTCTTTTCCACCCACTAGTGATTTTTGCTCATTACATGGGAGGGACCTAAGTGCCGTACAAACGGGGCCCTCTTGTACATACAGTGGTACCCCGAGTTTCATACAGTTCCCAACTCGAACAATTATGTGAGTGTATTACTGTAAGTAATACACAGCAACCACCCAGGGAAGTACTACAGTCCTGCCAGATGACTGTGAAACAAAAACCTGTAACTGTTTTGCATGATGGTAGGATTGCTGGTTTCTTTTTCTGTCTCATAAACACGCTAGATAACAGGGATATCTTGCTACTCCTACTTACACTTTGGTCACACTTCACAGACACGCACATGCATATATATATATACATACATCTAGGTTTTTCTCCTTTTTCTAAATAGCTCTTGTTCTTTTTTATTCTTCTATTGTCCATGGGGAAGTGGAAAAGAATCTTTCCTCCGTAAGCCATGCGTGTCGTAGAGGCGACTAAAATGCCGGAGCAATGGGCTAGTAACCCCTTCTCCTGTATACATTTACTAAAAAAGAGAGAGAAAAACTTTATAAAACTGGGTGCTTAAATGTGCGTGGATGTAGTGGCGGATGACAAGAAACAGATGATTGCTGATGTTATGAATGGAAAGAAGTTGGATGTCCTGGCTCTAAGCGAAACAAAGCTGAAGGGGTGTAGGAGAGTTTCAGTGGGGGGAAATAAATGGGATTAAATCTGGAGTATCTGAGAGAGTTAGAGCAAAGGAAGGTAGCAGTAATGTTAAATGATCATTATGGAAGGAGAAAAGAGAATATGAATGTGTTAATATTCAAGAATTATGTGGATTAAAGTAAAGGTTGGATGCGAGAAGTGGGTCATAATAACGTGTATGCACCTGAGAAGAGAGGAATGCAGAGGAGAGAGAGAGATTTTGGGAGATGTTAAGTGGAATGTATAGGAGCCTTTTAACCAAGTGAGAGAGTAATTGTGGTAGGGACCTGAATGCTAAAGTAGGAGAAACTTTTAGAGAGGGTGTGGTAGGTAAGTTTGGGGTGCCAGGTGTAAATGATAATGGGAGCCCTTTGATTGAACTTTGTATAGAAAGGGGTTTAGTTATAGGTAATACATATTTTAAGAAAAAGAGGATAAATAAGTATACACGATATGATGTAGGGCGAAATGACAGTAGTTTGTTGGATTATGTATTGGTAATAAAAAGCTGTTGATAGACTTCAGGATGTACATGTTTATAGAGGGGCCACAGATATATCAGATCACTTTCTAGTTGTAGCTACACTGAGAGTAAATGGTAGATGGGATACAAGGAGAATAGAAGCATCAGGGAAGAGAGGTGAAGGTTTTATAAACAAAAGAGGAGGCAGTTAGGAAAGATATAAACAGCTATTGGAGGATAGATGGGCTAATGAGAGCATAGGCAATGGGTCGAAGAGGTATGGGGTAGGTTTAAAAATGTAGTGTTAGAGTGTTCAGCAGAAGTTTGTGGTTACAGGAAAGTGGGTGCAGGAGGGAAGAGGAGCGATTGTTGAAATGATGATGTAAAGAGAGTATAAGGGAGAAAAAGTTAGCATATGAAAGTTTTTACAAAGTAGAAGTGATGCAAGGAGGGAAGAGTATATGGAGAAAAAGAGAGAGGTTAGAGAGTGGTGAAGCATGTAAAAAGAGAGCAAATGAGAGAGTGGGTGAGATGTTATCAACAAATTTTGTTGAAAATAAGAAAAGTTTTGGAGTGAGATTAACAAGTTAAGAAAGCCTAGAGAACAAATGGATTTGTCAGTTAAAAATAGGAAGGAGAGTTATTAAATGGAGAGTTAGAGGTATTGGGAAGATGGAGGGAATATTTTGAGGAATTGTTAAATGTTGATGAAGATAGGGAACTGTGATTTTGTGTATAGGGCAAGGAGGAATAACATCTTGTAGGAGTGAGGAAGAGCCAGTTGTGAGTGTGGGGGAAGTTCGTGAGGCAGTAGGTAAAATGAAAGGGGGGAAGGGAGCCGGGATTGATGGGATAAAGATAGAAATGTTAAAAGCAGGTGGGGATATAGTTTTGGAGTGGTTGGTGCAATTATTTTAATAAATGTATGGAAGAGGGTAAGGTACCTAGGGGTTGGCAGAGAGCATGCATAGTTTCCTTTGTATAAAGGCAAAGGGGATAAAAGAGAGGCAAAAATTATAGGGGGATAAGTCTGTTGAGTGTACCTGGTAAATGTATGGTAGAGTTTATAACAGTGGACCCCCGGTTTAAAGAACTTTTTCATTCCAGTAGTATGTTCAGGGCCAGTACTGACCGAATTTTTTCCCAAAGGAATATTGTGAAGTAGATTAGTCCATTTCAGACCCCCAAACATACACGTACAACGTACTTACATAAATTACACTTACATAATTGGTCGCATTGGAGGTGATCGTTAAGCGGGGGTCCACTGTAATTGAAAGAATTAAGAGTAAGACGGAGAATAGGATAGCAGATGAACAAGGGGGGCTTTAGGAAAGGTTAGGGGGGGGGGGGTGTGGACCAGGTGTTTACAGTGAAACATATAAGTGAACAGTATTTAGATAAGGCTAAAGAGGGCTTTGTGGGATTTTTGGATTTGGAAAAGGCGTATGACAGGGGGGATAGGGGGCAATGTGGCAGATGTTGCAAGTGTATGGTGTAAAGGGGGAGTTACTGAAAGCAGTGAAGAGTTTTTACGAGGAAGTGAGGCTCAAGTTAGAGTATGTAGGAAAGAGGGAAATTTTTTCCCAGTAAAAGAGGCCTTAGACAAGGATGTGTGATGTCACCATGGTTGTTTAATATATTTATAGATGGGTTTTTAAGGAAAATAAATGCGAGGTCTGGCAAGAGGCGTGGAGTTTAAAAGATAAAAATCACACACAAAGTGGGGGTTTTTCACAGCTGCTCTTTGCTGATGACACTGTGCTCTTGGGAGATTCTGAAAAAGCTGCAGAGATTGGTGGATGAATTTGGTAGGGTGTGCAAAAAAAGAAAATTAAAGGGGAATACAGGAAAGAGTAAGGTTATGAGGAAAAACAAAAAGATTAGGTGATGAAAGATTGAATATCAGATTGGGGGAGAGAGTATGGAGGAGGTGAATGTATTCAGATATTTGGGAGTGGACGTGTCAGCGGGTGGGTCTATGAAAGATGAGGTGAATCAAGAATTAATGAGGGAAAAAGAGTGAGTGGTGCACTTAGGAGTCTGTGGAGACAAAGAACTTGTCCTTGGAGGCAAAGAGGGGATGTATGAGAAATATAGTTTTAAACCCAAAGCTCTTAATGGGTGGAAGCGTGGGTGATGAATGTTGGGAGCGAGGAGCAGGCTGGAGGCAGTGGAGATGTCATGTCTGAGGGCAATGTGTGGTGTGAATATAATGCAAAAAATTCGTAGTTTGGAAGTTAGAGGAGGTGCGGGGTTACCAAAACTGTTGCCCCGAGGGCTGAGGAAGGGGTTTTTGAGGTGGTTCGGACATGTAAGAGAATGGAGCGAAACAGAATGACTTCAAGAGTGTTTTCAGTCTGTAGTGGAAGGGAAAGGCGGGGTAGGGGTCGGCCTAGAAGGGTTGGAGGGGAAGGGGTAAAGGAGGTTTTGTGTGCGAGGGGCTTTGGGCTTCCAGCAGGGATGCGTGAGCGTGTTTGATAGGAGTGAATGGAGACAAATGGTTTTTAATACTTGACGTGCTGTTGAGTGTGAGCAAAGTAACATTTATGAAGGGATTCAGGGAAACCGGCAGGCCGGACTTGAGTCCTGGAGATGGGAAGTACAGTGCCTGCACTCTGAAGGAGGGGTGTTAATGTTGCAGTTTAAAAACTGTAGTGTAAAGCACCCTTCTGGCAAGACAGTGATGGAGTGAATGATGGTGAAAGTTTTTCTTTTTCGGGCCACCCTGCCTTGGTGGGAATCGGCCAGTGTGATAATAAAAAAAAAAAAAAAATATTACTGTAAGTGCTTTTGTAAGTGTGTGTTTGGGGGTCTGAAACAGACTAATCTAATTTACATTATTCCTTAAGGGAACAAATTCGTTCGGTAATGGCATTCGAACAGCCTTCTGGAATGAATTATGGCCGAAACTCGAGGTACCATTGTAATGTACTCTGTCTCTAAGCACCTGTTTCTCCTTGGGGTTAGTAAAGAAACTATCTCTCTAGTACACTTTACTAACTGATTCTGATTGTAAAATAAATCATTTGAAAAGTAATCTAAAACATTTTAGTGAAACAAAAAAATGGTGAAATATATTAGTAAACTGTCTATCAGACTTCTGAAATAGAGGACAAAATCTGCCAGGTAAATTGATTTGGGAATGGACTACAGAATTGTCCATCACTGTTACCTTCACTGTGAAATGAATTTAGCCACATCCACCAGCCTCCATTACAGTCCCTTCTCATTAGTCCATTAAAAGTGAAAGTTTATTGTATATTGCATGTAATACTGTTATATAAACATCTGTGAAGCAGGAACCCCAAATTATACAAACAGAAAAACAAACTTTGCAATTAAATGTGCACTGGTGCAATGACTGAAATGTTTTGAAATAGGAAAAATGTTATTACTGCAGTTTAAGCAATGGTTTCTCGAGTGAATTTACATTAGCTGCATCCCCCAAAATTATTGCTTATCGAGAAATACTGTTTATCAAATGCCAATTTTCAAATAGTTTATTATTACATTGGGGATGGGGGGAAGAAACCTGAATGGGTCATATAGTGCCTGGGGGAAAGGGAAGCATTCAGGTTCAACCCAAGGAATCAAGGAATGGGAGCACAAGTTTAACTCCTTAGATCAAGAGCCCTCATGGCATCAATGACCCTCCCTTGAAGGGTCAAGTTTATTAAAGGAAGAGAAAATATATATGTATATAAAAAAAAGATAACCAAATACTATTGGAGTGTGAGCAAGGTAACATTTATGAAGGACTTCAGGGAAACCAGTTAGCCTGACTTGAGTTCTGGAGGTGGGAAGTATGGTACCTGTGCTCTTAAATAAGAAAGAGGAGGTTTCAGTTCAGAAAGTCATCTAAACTGTGATGGTTTAGGTAAGGTTTGTCAGGAAACTGGACAAGTGTTTCCTGATGTGGGTCATAGTCCTATGATGACCCATCATGACTGAGGACCTTCGCTGGCTTACTAGTCCACCTCTTTAAAAATCATGGTTATAATTATAACCATTAAGTAATGTCAGTATGCTTCTTCTGATTGAATTTGCTCTTTTTTTGGGTCACCCTGCCTGAGTGAGAAATGGTGAGTGTGTTAAGCATAAGTTTTATCAATCTTCGTAATTTGTTACTGCCAAAGAGATTTTCAGGTAACTACCGTATATCATACCTGGGAAAGCGCAGAATAAGAAGGATTCGATCATGGAGTAAGGTATAGCATGGTATCCCAGGTCGCCATTCCTCCCACGTCACGAGGTTGTGCTGAACCAGAACTGCTATGGCCTCGGATACCTGTTTACAGGAAAATTATTAGTACAGCATTTTCAAATGTTAGTGCTAACCCTGCATGGTCACACATGAATGTTTTCAGAAATAATACATCAAAAACTTATTTTAGCTAGTGCTAACCCTGTATGGGTCATACAACAATGTTTACAGAAATAAAATAAGATTTTCTCCGGATTATTACCCCAGATGGTTAGTAAATCAGGATAGCCCAATTAAGTCTGTAAGTCATCAGGGACTGTCAGTTTTATTACCATTGGAATCCTTTAATCCTCTCCCCCAGGATGCAACTCAAAACAGCCAACACCCAGATACCTACATACTGCTAGGTGAACAGGGGCAACAGGTGTCAGGTAACATGCTCAGCATCTCACCAGTATCAGGGAGCAGTCCCTGGTCTCTCAGTGTGTGCTGATGATGCTACCAACTGAGCCATAAGCACCTGAAAGGTGTCTAGAATTTATCTTAGATGAGTGAACACACTGGGTATGTTTCCTTAAGACCTTTTGCCCCTGTTTAGCTATCAGTAAGTAGGTACTTTCTCGATAGTTGCAACAGGACCCATAGGCATAACACTAGGCATAGAAAATCTCTATGATATTTCTCGTGTCTGACCAAATCTCTTTAAAAATTCAATGTACATAAAACAACCCAAATTCTGGAACTCTCTGCTGCAAATATACAGAACCACTGTCTCAGCCAACATTTTCAAAACTACCATTAAAAACCACCTTGTCTCCTTAGCATATCCCAACATCAGCTAAATATGTGAAAACTACATATCTATATTCTCAATGTCACAAACATGTGTAAAACAATAAAATCTTATTCTTAATATCTGTAATCCTCCCAACCATTAAAACAGTCTGAGTCCTCTTATGTTTATATGCTAGTATCCTCAATATCTATAATCCTATAATAATAATAATAATCAAACCTGTAATTCTTTTATACATGTATTCCAAATAAATTTTTCTTTTTCTACTGTTACATGAATTCTGGAAGCACCCAAAAAACTATGCAAGGTTACAAATATTAAGTATATACATTATAACAGTTACTGCAATATTTTGAGTGGCATGCCAGGCTGTGGTACTTATGCTAGCCTGCATACAGCCAGTATCAATACCCTGACTGATCAGGCCAGCAACTAGTAGGCCTAGACTGGGCCATGGGAGGCGACAACCCTCCAGAACAGGTAGGTCATCGCCCCCTTTATTTTTTTTTTTTTTTTTTTTGCAAATCCATTGAAATAACATTATGCATAGCAAAAGGAAGTGCTTATTGTACTGGCAGTCACAGAGCAAACAGTTTGTAAGTTCATTTAGGTATTGGTACACATAAGTACACTTATCATACATAGTGTAAATTACCTAGGATAACCAAAAATAAGGTCAGTGACTTATTTCTATTGGGGTCCTTGTTAATGACTACTGACATGGTAGTGGAGTAGCAACTAGTTTATAGGTTAGGTTGCATACACCTATAGAAAAATATTTAATCGTAAATAACCAGATTTAAAATAAATGAAGGCAACACATCTGGCAATAAGGTTCAGTATGTATGTCTATTTACATTCCAGTAACTGGCTGCTGGTCACATAGCCTTGTAAGTTTCTTTAAGTACAGGCACACATAAGTACAATTATTATACATAGTAATATATGTGTAAATTACCTAGAATAACCCAAAAAAAGCCCAAGTTAATTATTTCCATTGGGGTCCTTGACCACTGGAAAATAGGTACATGTATAAAACTTAAAATACTATGATAAATGTCAAAACAATTATATTAATAAAATGTAGCAATAGATGCTTAATTATTATATATATTCACAGGGAAAGGTTAGTGGACAAGTTTGGGAAGGTGTGTAAAGGTAGAAAGTTGGAAGTGAACATAGATAAGAGGAAGGTGATGAGGGAATCAAACAATTTAGATAAAGAAAAATTGGATATTACATCAGAGGGAGGGAGTAGGGGAAGAAGTGAATGTTTTCAGAAATTTGGGAGTTGACGTGTCAGCAGATGGGTTTATGAAGGATGAGGTAAACCATAGAATTGATGAAGGAAAAAAGGCGAGTGGTGCATTGAAGTATCTGTGGAGACAAAGAGCATTATCCATGAAGGCAAAGAAGGGAATGTACGAGAGTATAGGGGTACCAACACTCTTATATGGGTGTGAAGCTTGGGTTGTAAATGCTGCAGCGAGGAGGCGGTTGGAGGCAGTGGAGATGTCGTGTCTAAGGGGCAGAGAATTCATAGTGTGGAAATTAAGAGGATTTGTGGAGTTAATAAAAGTATTAGTCAGAGGGCTGTTGAGGTGTTTTGGTCATTTAAAGAGAATGGAACAAAGTAGAATGACTTGGAGAGTGTATAAATCTATTGGGGAAGGAAGGCGGGGTAGATGTCGTCCTCAAAAAGAGTGGAAGGAGGGGGTAAAGGAAGTTTTGTGGGCATGGGGCTTGAACTTCCAGCAAGCATATGTAAGTGTGTTAGGAGTGAATGGAAACGAATGGTTTTTGGGACCTGACGAGCTGTTGGAGTGCAAGCTGGGTAATATTTTGTGAAGGGATTCAGGGAAACTGGTTAGCCAGACTTGAGTCCTGGAAATATGAAGTACAATGCCTGCACTTTAAAGGAAGGGTTTGGGATATTGGCAGTTTGGCAGGATGTCTAGCCTGCCGTATCTCAGCGCCTCTGCAAAGACTGATTATGAGTGATGGTGAAAATTGTTGAATGATGATGAAAGTTTTTTCTTTGTTTTTGGGTCACCCTGCCTCAGTGGGAAACAGCCGTGCTAAAAAAAAAAAAAAAATTCACAGGGAAGCTCTAAAACCATAGGGGCCATACATTAAATGCTCAATTTGTCATGTGTTACCAGAGATATATAATGCTGATGGATTGGGATCCTTGCAATCTTAATTATTATTATTATTTATATTCACAAGGAAGTGCTAGACCCACAAGGGTCATATGAGGAATTTCAGGTAATCAGATTTGATCCAAGGAAAAATAAGACTGCTTCAGTTACTTAGCACTGAATGATTCATACAGTCGTGGAACTGTTGAATATATGAACACTTTAATTCCTTGGATCAAGAGCCCTTTACCAGCATCAAAGCAATTCACTAACTAACCCATTACTGTTCATGCGGGAAAGCAATTAAACTCTCAGGGCTAACACAGCACCTGGAGGAATGGGAGGCAATCAGGCTCGATCTAAGGGAAGGAGGCCCCAATTCCTTGGATCAAGAGCCTTCGTTATCAAGTAACCTCCCACGAGGAAATTAAACCAGTTCCATGGATAAAGAGCCTTCATTATCCCCAAGTAACCTCCCACTAGGAAATTAAACCAAATTCCTGGATCAAGAGCGCTTCATTATCCCCAAGAAACCTCCCACGAGGAAATTAAACCAGTTTCCAGGGTCAAGAGCCCTTCACCTCACCATAAAACGGGTTGAGTACAAAGAGGAAGACCCGTCTGCCCTCGCAGTCAGCGGGACGGAGGATCAAGCCCCCACCACATCTTATGCTGAATGACCCCACGGGTTTAGCGCTTAACGTGAATTTTATTAAAATTATTATTATTGTTCACCATCACCAAATAACCTCCCACGAGGGAATTAAGTCACAAACTTGGATCAAGAGCCCTTGTCTTACCTTAGTAAGGGCCCAGCGGGAAAATAAGTAACAATAACTCTCAATGGATTAACACCTTTCGGGAAGAGCACCTCACCAACTTTGGCCACAATATTCCCAAAATATTCATTGGAATTTTTGTAAAAAACTTTTTGTAAGTAGTAAGACATTTTTCAGAGGGTTTGTTATTGTTATGGTTGTTAAGGGCTCATACGGCTCATGCTGTGTATAAGGGTCACCATGGTTCTCTATAATTAAGGGTCACCATGGTTCTCTCTATATTTAAGGGTCACCATGGTTCTCTCTATATTTAAGGGTCACCATGGTTCTCTATATATTTAAGGGTCACCATGGTTCTCTCTAAGGATCACCACAGTTCTCTCTATATTTAAAGATCACCATGGTTCTCTCCATATTTTAGGATCACCATGGTTCTCTCTGTATTTAAGGATCACCATGGTTCTCATCATATTTAAGGGTCACCATGGTTCTCTCCATATTTAAGGGTCACCATGGTTCTCTCCATATTTAAGAGTCACCATGGTTCTCTCTATATTTAAGGGTCACCATGGTTCTCTCTATATTTAAGGATCACCACGGTTCTTTCTGTATTTAAAGGTTACCACGGTTCGCTCAGTATTAAGTGTCACCGTGCTTCTCTCCGTATTTAAGGCTCACCATGGTTCTCTCCATATATAAGGGTCACCACGGTTCTCTTCATATATAAGGGTCACCACGGTTCTCTTCATATTTAAGGCTCACCATGGTTCTCTCCATATATAAGGCTCACCATAGTTCTCTTCATATATAAGAGTCACCACGGTTCTCTTCATATTTAAGGCTCACCATGGTTCTCTCCATACATAAGGCTCACCATGGTTCTCTCCATATATAAGGCTCACCATGGTTCTCTCCATATATAAGGGCCACCGTGGTTCTCTCCATATATAAGGTCACCACTGTTCTCTTCATATTTAAGGGCCACCATGGTTCTCTCCTTAAATAAGGGTCACCACGGTTCTCTTCATATATAAGGCTCACCATGGTTCTCTCCATATATAAGGGCCACCGTGGTTCTCTCCATATATAAGGTCACCACGGTTCTCTTCATATTTAAGGGCCACCATGGTTCTCTCCATATATAAGGATCACCACGGTTCTCTCAATATATAAGGGTCACCACGGTTCTCTCCATATATAAGGTCACCACGGTTCTCTTCATATTTAAGGGTCACCGTGGTTCACGCCATATTGAAGGGTTAAAAGAGTTCCTACTGTATCTAAGGGTTAAGATAGGATCAGATTTATTGGGATTTTTACCCTGGGGGAAGGTTAGCCACCCAGGATAACCCGGGGGAGGGTTAGCTT